ACGCGTTTCTGCCCAAATCGGATCAGATGGTGGTTTGTGCAGTTTCCGCGGATGATCGCGGAGACTAGGTAACGTAGCGGGATGAAATAGCCAGGACAGATCTGGACCAATCTTTCCCGTCGGTTGATTCGCTTTGCAAGTACTGCCTCCGAAAGTTCCAAGCGTGGCATTAAAATTAACTTCAGGGCGAGTGAATATTTTCTGGGAGATCATTTGTGTACACTAAAAATAGTAGTGGGCCAAGGACGGATCCTTGTGGCATACCACTGGAGACACACTAGCTGTCCCAATGGGCATCGGCTAATGTTACCTTGATTGTTCTGCCATGCCAGTAAACTTGCAACCAGGTGAGCAGGGAACCACTGTTAACGTACGCACTGATCTTTTGTAGCAGAACGGAGTGGATGGCTTCATCAACTGCCTTGGAAAAGTCGTGTACAATTTCCGATGAGTCACAAATTACTTGCACTTGAGTGCCTTTTACATAATCGTTATACAGCGCAAAATAAAGTGTTGGGCAAGGGCTGTTGTCATCGGTCGACCGGGTGTTGACATATCTTTCCTTTTGATTTGATTACAGCATGGTCCCACTCACAGGCGGACGAACTAACAAGGGACAGTGGTGTGCAACGCGTTAACTGGCTCTTAGCAAGTGAACTGACTCTATCCGTTGGTTGTATCCATCTTCGTGTCAAACACCAACCATTGTTGTCCACCGTCCAAGACTGTAAGACTTTAACCCCGCTTGAAGACGGAATTGGAAATCAAAGTCAACCGGAAGCACGGGCCTCGGTTGCGCCGGAACACTGTGAACGAATAGTCGAACATGTCAGGGAGAATTACGGACGTCCTGTTCATTTGGTCGATTTGTAACATATTCCGCTGTTAGTAAACTTATCGTCTGTAAACCAGTGCTTTTCTGACTCTATCGTTGTATCGGGTCAGGGCGCGTCTTATACGCTGCGAGAGGTAAACATTTGTGCACCCGCAGTAGCCCTGTGGATCCCAAGAAATGTATTTCGTATGCTCGCGTCGCTTCCGCGATTTAGTTGTCCCGTTATAGAACAACCCCGCGAGGGCTAGAAAATTATTTGCTTGCGTTACTACCGTTGTATAGGCAGTAAATATGATTTATCGTTGGTGGTTTTTGTGTTAGGAAAGCCAGCGGATAGCGGCTTACATATGGACATGGAAAAAACAAACGCTGATCTGTGCCTACTTGATCGCAATGGGGGGAGTGTGTGGCTGTTGACCAATTCGTTCAGCCTTTTACGTGAACGCATGCAGCTAGACGTTGCTTGACCTCGTTCAATGATGATCAATGCGGAATAAAAGAGCACGTGATGAAAGCGCAAATAACGTTTACCGGGACCTAACGTGGAGTAATTGCGGAACGTTATTTGCTATTAACTGGATCGAACAATAAGGCTACGGATTGAAGGGGTTTTGCAGCGGAAACAAAGCGTGAACGTTGCAGCAAATCGCTTCGCAATTATTATTAGTTATGCCTATGCAGGTGATGAGTTGCTCCGCATGCCACATACCGGTGAAGCTTAAATGGGAACGGAACGATACGACTATCCCTTGAGTGTTCTCACTTTAGCAGGTCGTGGTAGCAGGAGTTGACGTAGTGATTGAAATGTGGATAAAGCTGAAACAAAGAAAGCATCACTTCCGGAACAGACAATTACTCCTCACGAATCCTGCACTAGCAGACACTTCTGGGCCAGTTACGTGAAGTGAGCAGGAGTAAGAAATGAAACTGAATCCAAGACGAACAAGGTAGGTAAGCAATCATAATACCACGGCATTTGTGGAATGAGAGAAAAGAAGATTGAAAGATGATGAGATATCAGTTAGGAGCAATGTAACCTTTGGTATTGCCAACATAGGGCATCGAGATAACGCACGAAACCCTTCACCGTTATTTGTCTAACAACGTGATGTGGAAGCGCGTTCCAGCGCTGCGTAACTGCGCGACAATCGCGTTTCTGCCCTAATGCGTCCGCATTTTCCCAGAGGTAGCTATTCGTGATTCCATCACGAAGTAGGCGAATTATGGGTTAATGCAATGATACGTGGAGTAATTGCGGAACGTTATTTGCTATTAACTGGATCCGGTGATGGGGACTCCAGATGGTTAGAAGTTTTAGAGGCTATGGTTCGCAGTCGAAATCTGTGGCGTCAGTGCTGTTCTAAGCTTTCTTTTTCATCAAAATTTCAATTCTAAATGAAAAGCAAAACAAAATTCAGCACGGTGTGTTTGAGACTATATATATATATATGTTGATTATATATACATATATATATATATATATATATATATATATATATATACATATATATATATATAATCAACAACTGCTTTAAAGGCAGCTATCTTGTAATTTGGTGGTTACTGCTAGACTGTTCCTGAACTGAAAGGGTTAAATAGTTTGATTTGTTTTCATCCACTGTTACAGAATTCTGAACAGTTCTTTTGAATTTATACATGGTTCTTACATCTGTAGAATTTTCCGTTAAGCAGTGAATGGAGAGCTGAAATATACTTAAAAAATTTTTTAAATATCATCCAGACCACAATGGCAGTTTTTCACTGTACCAACGTCGTTTTCTATTTATTTGTAGCATAAGGGAATAGGAAGCGCGTTTTGAAACCAGGAACAAAAAGCACTGAAATTTTTTGGTTAGTGTTATCAGTGGCTGTGGATCGTTCAAAGTTGTTTTGCACCCTCAAAATGTGAAGCTTGCCTCCAATGTTGGTGGGGACGCTTAATGCGATCAGCTAGAAGTTCTTAAATTTTAACTACCTAGCAGCTATATCAACGATTGCGGAATAGAATATGAGGTCAGAAACCCTACAGCACCTGCGGTACAATAGCTGAGGTCTTTTCCACCTGCACCTAACGTGCATAACGATGATGATGATGATGACAGCATCTTCGCCACTCATGGCACAGGCGAGACTTCATGCTCACCCTGATGGGTGGAGTCCACAATGCTACAGCCCATTCAACCCCAATGTACAGACAAGACCTGACCTATAACTTGGGAACCAGTAGCGAGAGTGGAGAGACAGACAAACCGCTATAGAACATTCTGGTCTATCACAGTATTGCAAGCCAAGTTCGATAGCTTCTCTCAGTACATATGGGTGCCTCCTCCTTCTTACCTTCTTGAAAAATAACGAACTTCAAAATGGAACAACGAATTAGCATCGTTCCTTTTTAAACGTAAGTAATCCGTTGCGGAAGCTTTTCAGCTATTGACTGAGGCTTGCAGTGAGGATCGCACGTCCCCTTCATGCGTTTTTGATTGGCGTAAACGGTTTTCGAAGGGCAGAGATTGCGTGGAAGACGATGGTTACCCAAGCCGTAGCCGCACAACTGTTACCGGTGAGAACATTTAAAAATGCGTGATGTAATTCGAAAAGGCAAAAAGTTGCATGTTTTTGTACTATCCTGGAAAGTGTTTGAAAATTTCGAAAGAAGTATTAAACAGCAAAGTTTGTACAAAATTGGCCCCAGAAATACCGTCGGATGAACATGAAGAGCACCGCAAGAATTTGCGTTTGAACCTTTTTAACGCTTTGAAGATGAACCAGATTTTCCGAATTCGCCAATTACGTATGAACTAATTTGGATAATTACGTATGATCCAGAAACCAAGTGACGATCAATGCATTAAAAGCCAAAGTCCTCTTCTAGACTAAAAACACGTTCACATTTGGATGTTATGTTACTTGTTTTCTTCGGCATCCACTGTTGCCTTCGCATAGTAGGTACTCAGCGACCAAACGGTAAATCCGCATTAGTACTTCGTGGTTTCGACCGAATTACGTGAAAGTGTGAGAAGGAAATCACCGGAATTATGGAGAAACGAGTGGATTCTGCAAAGGAACAGTACACAACGCCCTTTGGAGGTAGTTCTTAACTGATATAAATACCACCACCCTTAAGCGTTCCCTTTGTTCGCCAGATCTCGTTCCTCAACACTTCGGCTTCTTCTCAACTATCTGGTCGGGGTTCAAAGGAGCCCATTTTTGTCGGTAGATGCGAATACACGACGGCCGCCTCTTGGACAGTCTTAAAGAATGTGATCTACGGAATTGCTTTTAATATTAACAGTGTTGTTTGCAGCTGTATGTTAACGTAGGAGAGAAAGTCATCTTAGTTCATTCTCTAAATGTGTTCATTTTCTATCGACTGTGTACCGTTGCGAAACCTAGTACACTATCTTGACAGACATAGCGGAGCTGGTTTGCATTCAAACGCCGGTGTCTTCGCAATCTAACTCACATCTGATAGAAACACCGTCTGAGTAACGAAGGTGTTTGCCGCCTTGTTTGTGGCGCGAGAAGGGCAAGTGAACCGCTCAGTGCCATCGTCTTACGCACTAGGTTCCTGTATCTAAGCCCTTTTTTACGCATACTGACGCATTGACTCTCGCGACTTACATTGGTTGCGCAAGCGAGATTTAGTCGGAAAAAGATTGGAGGTCATCTGATGACATAGTCAAGAGAAATGAAGGGTCATCGAAGGCTTCGATTTGTGTATCCTGGCTCACTGTCTGTCTGTAGAACGTTGAAAACGTTCAACCGCAAACAGTTGTTGATACGGCAGACTTCAGTGGCGTTTGCGTTTTAAATTTCTTGAACACCTCCGACCTAAGTTTCGTTCTCGATGCACAGTAAATACTAAAGCATGGTATTATTTTTTCCACGACCATCTAATTGTTTTGTATTACAGCACTTCGGTTGTGAGATGTTTCCCACTAACTTACATATAGAATGAAAATGATGGCTATTTTCTCGCCATAAATTTCGGCTTCTTTTAGTTGATCAATATTGCATACATGAAAACTACTAACGCAACTAGTAAGGCTGCTCCTGCGTTGAATGTGCACTTGTATTTAGCATTTGCTCTTGTGGAAACGCCATCTAAAGAAAAAGTCCATTTGAGTCAGTTTAATCGCTGTCGTTTCTTTGGTTTTACCTTTAGACGTCAACCAATATCATCATAATTGTTTCTCACGACCGGTCCTTCTTGAATTCCGTATCGACGGATATTATCCATCTGACTGGTCGCCGACTCGATCTCTATCGCGGCAATTACGATGCTTTTGAGCAGGCTCGTGCGGAGCGTCTACTGAATCAGCAGCGTGAATATGAAGCTCAAAAGGCCGCGAGAGATCATGTTCAAGTAAGTGTGCACCATAGTTCTTTCGCTTTTTTCAGCTTTTTGTTTTGCTCCACTTGGCACTCCAAATTCTACGTGTGTCAACTTTGTGAATCCTGTACCATGCGTTATATCATTCACGTTTAACATGAGTCTTGTCCGGAAACCAATGACGCTGATTTTCTTGAACCATGCAGAATAGCTGGTTTACAGGTGTGGTAATTGGTGGTATTGGTAGATAAATGGTCGTAATAAAATAATAATAATGTGTCAGCTGTACGCCGTAACGGCGCTTCGCTGTCGCGCAACCACCACCAGTCGCGCGCGGGCTGAGTATACCGCGAGGACGCCCACCCCTGCGCGGATTCGAACCGGTGACCTTATGGTTGCAAAGCAAACGTGAAGACCACTCAGCCACCAGCCGACAATAAATGGTCGACCTCTTGCCAGTTGGCTCCGAACTTTTACTGAACGCGGATCGCATACCAAGTGGATAGAAGGTTGAGCGTCGCACTACAGTGAAAATGTGGAGACATATTGCTACTCGACATCCGGTATAATTTTGTGTAACACTTGAGAACTCTGTGACTAAGTGTTTAGTTTGACTACTAGGGGCTCACGGAAGGGACAAATCATCGAAATTGTCTCGTTTGTGCCGAGGCTTCAAAGACAGAAGAGCTAGCGTTAAGAATAAATAACGCACATCTACCTCTCACACTTGTGATAATAATAATAATAATAACAATAATAATTCAATTTCGAGTTTCGAGATGCACGCTTACTGAGGCATGCTCAAGGACAAATCGAAGGAAATGAAAACAGCTTTGAACTCCAATGGACATCAGAATCCTGTACTGATGGCAGATGAAGTGGAACTTAAAATATCCATTGTCCATAAAATCAACTAAAATGGGAATAATAATCTTGTTGATTTCTAGATCGTGTGGGGGAGTAAACCTGGTTTCTCATAAAGTGATGACCAGTAACGCGACGAGAACGTGAAGCAATGTGTGGCACATTATTGTGTTCCTTCGAATAAATGAGGTTTTGACTAACAAGCCAAAAGTGAATCTATTTCTCATTGTTTCTTTCGATTTTAGACACCTTGTCCTCATGAATTCTCTGCCACTCTGAACTAACGGTGAACGCTGCATTTTACTTGAATGTGCCTAAGTGGTTGAAGAGGATATTCATGCGTGTTCGCCCAGAGACCACCATCCTGAAAAGACGCCATTTTGGGACTAACAAAAACGTGCGATGCTCAAATTACCCTATCATATCATTGTAGACGCTGCTAGATTTCGGTTTGCCGTCGGATGTGCAGCCTTCCCGCCCTTTCTAAACGTCGTTTAGTAAATGAAAGCTAATCTTTAGCTATATTACTTTGTTTCAACACTTCGCCTCAATGACTCAAAAGGGTTGGCTGCATTTTTCCTTACCGAACCACTGTTTCTGTTCCTCATTTATCAACTGACTGTTGACTTCATAGCATGAGGTTGTTGAGCCATTTGCCACCTTCTAGTCCCCTCGCCATAATATCTTGTTTGTTGATACACCAAACCAATATTCGCTCCATCCGCCTTTTGGTCTTTGGCTAGATCACCTTCTTGCTCTCGTGGTGCCTTTGATTGCACTCCTATTCTCATCATTAACACGTACCAAATGAAATGACTACCTGTCATCGTATAACCCGTACGACTCGAGTCGGTTGCGTTTTTCCGTCCTATTTCTGCTTACCGCAGTTCTGCCGTTCACTTCCAATTACGGTACGATAGGTTGACTCATCTGCCACTGTTCTTTAATATCGCCTCATCTGTCATCATCCCTGTTAGCATTTTTCCTGATGGTTTCCATCTTTACCCCCTTATCTTTCCGAGCCGTAGACTGGTGAACATGGAAATAGTCCGTCCTTTTGAGACGGCGAAAGCACGTTCATCTCCACGTAACACTTGGTCAATCGGAACACCGTGGTTAAGCCAATGAAAACGCACCTCAGACCTAACTCGCGCGTCGCAACTTGCTCAGCCACATCTCTGTCTTATCCACATTATCCTTACGCGAACAGCTCCCTGTTGTCTGTTCCGTATATGAGCCCACGGCGCTCGAAATAACAACAATCCCAGTGGCTCCATGCCGACAGTACCGCTGGTGCAATAAGCTACAAGATAGGTGGCAAATACATGCGATATGCAACAGGGTATCTTGCATAGTAGCGATGGAATCCAAATTGCAACAGATGTGATCCCTGTCGAAATTGGTTTTCTAAGAGAACACTAAACGCGCGATAAAAATGACGATCTACGTACCGGACAATTCTGTCACCCTTTCTAACAATAGGTACTTCTGCATCTTATGGAGTGGATCCATATAAATGTCTGCTTTATTGTAGTGCTCATGATTTTGCCGTGTGGCACAATCGCTTAATGCACCGTTCCGTCCGTTTTCCATTTCACAGCAATTTATTGAAAAATTCCGTTTCAACGCAAAGCGTGCATCTCTCGTGCAAAGCCGGATCAAATATCTGGAACGTCTACCCGCAATCGTGTTACCCGAAAAAGAACCGAAGATAGTCATCCGGCTACCTGATTGCGATAAGCTGTCTGGTCCTGTTGTACAGTTGGATGAGGTGGGCTTTTCTTATGTCCCCGGGAAACCTGTTTTGTATAACGTGGACCTGAGTGCCTCTTCCGAATCACGCATTTGCATCGTGAGTACCCCATGGAACATTAGATCTTGTATTAACAAGCCATTTTTGTTGTGATGCGTTATCATGACATTGGCTCTTTTCCAAATGTCACTGCGATCGTATATCAATTACTGTAGGCGTATCCCACGTGATTAGCTTCTGTCGCGTTACGCACGCTGATTTTCGACTTCGTTTAGTCGAATTCTGATAGCCAATTGTTGTTACCGTTCTGTGTTTTTAACTCAGTTGGTCACTGTTTAAAACTGCTTGCTTTCTTCACAGATGAAGGTCTCAGAATGAGCTGCGTCATTGAGTGGGGTCGTTGTCAAATTTGACTCGGCCGCGCTGTCAGTAGTGCTCCTCTATTCCGTCCCGTGAACCCACCTGTCCGTGTTCTATTCAAACCAGTTTTGCTCACCTTTCCTAATCCATTTTCCCTGACTAGTTGGCACTTCATCTCCTTTTTTCACCACCGACAAGTACTGTTATCCTAGCAACGCCATTCCTGGTAACCGGATCCGCCGCACTTCGGGTCATACAGTGTGGCGCACAAAATGTCATACCATTTGTTTTGTTCATTACACATGTAATATTATAGATGTAATGTTGAAAACTCGTATCCATATATTTTGGTTTATAGAAAATCCCGTAGGTGTCACGAGAAGTTTGTATGGATTATTTTCTTGGCGCCAAACAATTTTCAAGATGACGCATAAGAGCAGCTTAAGTGTTGAACAGGTGAAAATGGTAATGATTTTTTGCAAATATGGGGGATTTTGTAGCGACAAAAACGTTTTCGTGTACACTTTCGTACGAAATGGGTTCCATGTAAGCAGACTACTCAGAGATTGCATCGTCAATTTGAAACAACTGGCTCTGTGGTGGAGATGAATCGACGGAGCACACCAAGTGTTAGCACCCCTGAAAACATGGACGCTTGCAAGAGGTGGAAACAAAATGGTGATCACATTGAAACCACACTACATTGAGCTAAATTCCCATGCTCATACAATTAATTATGTACTACTTTTGTAATATTTTGGTGGCACATACATGTGTCATAAACAAAACAAATAGTGACATTTCGTGCGCCACCCTGTAGTTGTTTAACTGAACTGAACGAATCTTATTTGGTGTATGCGGTTGACCTCGCCTTACTTTTTCATAGTTGCGAGACCTCGTAATCAACCGTCGAAAAACTGTTTTCAGTGATCCTATTCCTTTGCTTGCAAATTGCGCCTTGGTGCGAAGAGTACTGCTATACGATCTTCTTGCCTGTTAATCCTGTGGATCTTGACGACTACTGGTTAAAAACAATTAAATAACTCATCCATTTTGACAGCTGCATTAATTAACTAAAAAATTAACTTTGATTCTCGATGATGCAAGGAACGCCCATATCGGCATGATCAGGTAAATGCATACTTGTATAAAACACTAATCAGAGACGGATCAAGAGCTAATGTGCGCCATCCATCTCTTCCAATGTAGGTCGAGCAAGAATGAAGTATTGACTCCTGGAAGTCCTAAATATCGGCCTAATGCTCTGCGGCAAGATAACCTGTTTGTTCACAGAGGTCAAGTGAACATCAATATCACAAGCCCAGGTCCGTATCTTACGACAGATTAATTGGTTTGTCATCAATAATCAGACCGCTGTGTCAAATCGCACTTGAAGGATTGCACATTTGTCTGCAGAGAAAGAGAAGGAGTAATAAAAATACAAGTATGCTTGTGCAATCGTGCATGACTGCAGACTTTCGTTTTGCTCTAGTGGTTCACTGATGTTTGTTATAACGTATCATTTCGTTACCCCTATTGGCTATTTGGAGTCGTTATTTCTGCCTTCAGATCGCAGTCCTACTCTGACGCGAACACTTCTTTTTCGTGTGTACCTAATTGGTTCCTTATTTATTCAGTCTTTATGGGCTTTACTTGTCCGCACACTTTCCGTACTCTGGTTGGCTTTCACGATTGTACGACATGCTACATACCGAAGCGGTTTCCCTACGTAAAAGAACCCTTGGCTCCTTGTCCCTGATCGTCCGTGTTCTCAGTACCGTTAGTGAGTGAAACCAATCGCGGGGTGCCGACAAATTTTCTACTTTGAGCACCAAGTCAAGCGCATGGAGGTCGAGTTGGACAATTGTATCAACATCATTGGAGGAATCCGTACGGAAAGTGTATACAGTTTTGATGTCACCTGCGAAGAGCTACGGTGTGCGAAATTTTACTACGTCGAAAATATCGTTAACATATATTAAGAGCATAAGTGGCCCAAGGACACTATTAGTGGCAGGTGTATGTTCCAATTTGTGTATTTGTATTGAATTTGTACCACTAAGAAAGCAGGTGTTCATCGATCCCCTAGAACACCGTTTTAGCCATTAGTTTTCCATGAAGCACCTGATCAAGGCCTTGTGCATATTGAGGTAAATTAGAGTAGTCGACGTACCAAGATCATGTGCGGCACGTTATGCAGGACTGAGTATTCAAGAAGCCGTTCTGAGAGTTGTTTATCAGCTTTCTTGACAGCAAGAATTCGGCGGTTCTAGTTTTTACATGTTGCTTCATCATTTCTGTTAGAATAGATGTGCGGCTTGCTAGGCGATAATCCTTGGTCTCGAACAGGGAGTCTGCTTTGTGTCGCGGCACAACTATGGCTTCTTTCCACTGAGCCGGTACAGCGACAGAACGCGTGGATATATACTGAATATACTCAACGATAGCAGGATGTCATCACCGCCGAATTTCACAACTACGAGGGGGGGGGGATAATACTGTGTGTGCCACCGAAATAGGATAGTTCTGTTCACCTGATAAGTTTGTGTATATCGCAGAGTTCAAATAGTATACAGTTGGACTGAATGACTATGACTGGTGACGAGACCAGGCTTGTGGGTCCCGTATCGAAGGCGCGGAAATGTCAGGCCAGTTATGTTGCATCCATTTGATGCTACGAGTGAAAATGTGCCTTGATTACCTTTAGCAGTTCTACGCTTCAAAAGATTGATCGGTTTACGGTTTTGAACTGACTGTCTAGGGCTCGTTTTTTATCAGCGATTTCTGTTAGACTAACTTATGGTGTTACATCGTGAATGGGAAGTTATTCCTCTGCGGTAGACCGTATACAACTTTTTGAGCTTAGCAGCTCTTTTGCGTGAAACAGGCTTTTCGCGGCCTGGGCTTAAGGAATCTGTGGTTGATAGGAACGGGTAAGTCAAGACAGAACAAGAACTTCCACTGTTCAGATTACAGCGAAGCAACAAACGAATCCCAGTCAATATCTTGGAACCTATCATCATAAATACATTAACCGGTCGTTTACCAAGTTTTCTGAAATGAATCCCAGTCAACTTATTTGTAGTGTCTTGAGAGCATTCATGACTACGGTGCAGTCGTTATTTGGAGTCGGGCGGGATTGCTGAATACTAAGGAGATTACACTTTGGTCACTAATAGGAAAGTGGTCTAGAAAATCACCAGATACTGCATTAGGCCAATGGTGAATATCATATCCGTTATTATTCTTTCAGATGAATGTTGTAATATGCTGTGTCCATTCGTATGTATGTAAGCAAGAGGCCACATTTGCATACTTGGTGGGCGCATGGATTATGGTCCATGAAAATTCAGGCATACTTAAAGCTCCCATCATTTGGACATAACCATTTGGTCTGCTACTTAAAACCACAGTTCTTGTTATGCATTCGTTTATACTATACTGGAATTCGGATGCACGTAGACGCACTTAAGGAGTTGGTCGTTACTTAGTTGCACATTTATAAAAACGGAGTCTTAGAAGCGATTATGTGATGAAACATTAACCGTTGAAGCACACAACGTACTGTGGACATAGATAGCGCAACCGCCACCTGTCATTACTGATTGAACATTGGTACTGTCGACCGGTACCACCGTGTCCGCTGCATCCGCAGATCAGTAAATGTGGCTGAGACTACGTTGCTTTGCACACGCATCACTTATGAGCCTACCGGCAGAGAAGAATGAAGCCACTGACAACAACGGAGCACTTCAGATCTCCCTCTTCTTTCGGGCTGGGGTCCATGTGACCCGCTCTGTGCCTGGTTGCAGTCCTTACGTAGCATGGAGAACGTGGTCCTTTAATTGGACCACTTGTTTTTGGTTGGTATGCTGTTAGGATAAGGTGCTTATGATTCGGGGACAGTGAATACCAACAAAAGTTGCTCCACAGAATCTCCACACAGTGTCCAGCTGTTTGTGACGATGTTGTATTACCAGAATTTGGAAAATTTGTTCAAGGCATTTACGATTTGCACTTGATCCTCTCTTTCTCCTATAATTATTTCCAATTGAACGAGTTATTGTGACCGTATGACAGCGAACTATCAGTACGAACTATCGCTGTACTACTGTACATGGGTGGTTACCGCCCGCCCATGGGACTTGGCGCTTTACATGTGAATATCTCCGGTGCATTCAGGTCCTTGGTCATCGTTGCCCACGGATCTTCCTTCGTGTCGAACATCACCAGTGTGTCTACAACCTTTGGATGCACTAGGCATTGATGGTCAGTTTTGTTTGCATTGGTTCAGAAACGCGCGACCGCCCGCTCACTGCTTCGTATCGTTTCCCTGTAGTTAAATTGCAAAAGAATCGAAGAGGACGGCCGTTGGTCTCTCAGTGGACCTAAATTCCCTGACCTTCAAACTGAGTGCTGTTGATCTGCGCGACTTCGTAATTTCGGTCTTCGCGACTTACTCTGTTCCTAAATCGTAGCGTTGCAGAATATCGCTGACAACAGGCATCTATAGTGTTTTAGCTTTGCTCCCTAGCTGGACTCTTTGGTTGAAATATGTCTTTTTTACCTGTGGGCTGTAGTTTATTTCCGCAATGGGTAGTGAAATTCATCTGGAACTTTCTAGCGTCTACCCTTTCTTGCCCTGAAGATAGCAGTTCGTAGGTTTTGGCTAGATTTGAAAAACGAACAACGATTTATCACGGGTAAAATAGCATGTGCTTCACAAGTTTCCTAGGATAGTTGGAGTGAAAAGTAAAATTAAAAGGATTAACAAATACGTAAATCGTCATTTTAAGCGCTTACCGATTTAAATTCATGCTGCACAACGACCGTTTGAAATGGGAATGGGATGTGCAAATACAAAATAGTATAGATTACAGTTATAGTTCAGTAACTCCGTGAGGAAATGACAACACTCACTCGTGTGTTGCTTCATTTGACCGATGCGACACGTTAATCCTGTTTAGCTACATCTATGCTACTCACAAGGACTCTTATGCATGAATCCTCACCGCCACGTTGCGCAGAGGGCCGTTAAGCACATGGTTTGGTTTGCGTTATTTCGTCCTCTAAGTGAAACAGACTACAACAAGTAATGAAAGTTAGAAAGCGTTTTTTGAAAAGCGTTAATGTAGGGGCAAAGATGACGTGAGTCGTAAGGTCGTTCCACGCACGGGACACACAGAGGGAGAAAATGTTTCGTCGACAATCAAGTCGACTATAGTGCGTAGCCAGGTTGAGCTGATGGCCTGAGGTTGCTATTTTGGTTCAGCTGCAACAGATTGTGACATTGATGAATTGGATTCGTCAGTATTAAGTAAACCATGACGAGGTCTCCCCGTTGACTTCGATATTCATCACTGTACAATCTCAGGGACTGCAGTCTGCGCTGGTAGGGGAGATGAGACAATCCTCTAACGAGTTTGGTTGCTCTACGTTGTAGAGCTTCAAGTGCATCGACGTCGCGCTTGCGCCAGGCCTGTATCGCAAATTCCACGTTGGGCCTCAGCATGTGCGGAAAGATTGATGGGTCGAAATTTGCAAAATCCTCTGTAATAGTCCAAGATGTTGATTGGCTGTTTTCGATTCCTTTTCAGCCTGTCTCGAGCAGCCAAGATCGTCGTGCGCCATCACCGCAAGATCGCTTTCCTGAGAAGCACGTCGCAACTGCTGGTCCCCAAGTCAATATCCACGAATAAGATGATGGCGTATGGCCACGACTTTACACTTCACCACGTTGAACTGGAGCAGGTTATCGGATGACCACGCATAAGCCCTATCGAGATCGCTCTGCAATGCCATGTGATCATCCGCTGTCTTGATGTCATGCCACATTTTGACATCTGCACGTAGTAAGAAATCCGACTGCAGTACACTGGCAAGACCAGGAATAAACGTGGCCTCAGTACTGATCGTGGCACACCCCCTGGACGTCAGTCGGGTCGGAAATTGAGCTGCGGACTCCCACATTCAGTTGACTTTGAGTGAGGAAGTTACGGATCTAACCGAGCACAGGGTCACCGATTCCATAGCTTCGAAGCTTGTGAAGGAGAATGCGGTGGTCCAAACGATCGGACGCTTTGGCGAACTCCAGATAGACGACGACTCCCACTCTGGCGTTGGCTGATTCTGTCCAGCTTGCTCGGACTAGAAGCAAGTTTTTAGTGCAAGATCGATCTCGGCAGAGTAAGTGCTGCTGTGACACTGGGATGTTGCTCTCAAGGTATCCCATGAGAGCCTCTGCGATTATACCTTCCATTACTTTGGATAACACTGGCAGGAGAGTGATTGGACGGTAGTTCGAGGGCTCCGCACGATTACCACTTTTGTAAACAGGAGTGACTAGTCCATGTTTCCACATTCTGGGAATCTGCATTTCATCAAGACAACGTTGAAAGAACCGAGCTAATGGTTCGGCAAGGTTTATGGCCAATGCCTTCGGTTCGATGTCGTCTACGCCAAGCGAACTGTGCACGCGCAATGACATTAGCCTTTTCATCACATTGGCTGCCGTGAACGATACGTGGTTTAACCCTGGTGGCGATGGGTGCTGTGTCAAAAGTGAGTGAAATGACGATTCACCATGGGAAGTGTGGATGAAGTGTTGGCGAATCACGTTGGGTGCATATTGTGCGGTTTGCGCAAGACCATCTGTTGCACGTAAAATTGGGTTCCCCCACCGCACCCTCCGGAGCTTGTTGACGTATCTATACAGCAACTTGGGATTTGTACTGAATTTCGCCGCTAAGTTCTGTTGGTGCTGAAGTTTGTCTTCGCTGATCAACTTGGTGCAGTGATTTCGTTGCGTTGTGTAAGCACCCCAGGTCAAGTTACTTGGACAGACTTTGTAAGCGCGCCAGGCTGATCCCTTAAGGCCTTGTATTTTTTTAGTACGGCTCCTCAGGAACGAGTTCACTTGCTCCGGGCTAAAGACCTTACTTTCTGACACATTTGCCACTAGCTCGGTGAAGTGGATGACAAACACCATCCAAGCGATATCGGGCGGCTACTCGGCTAGGAAGGACCAGTTTGTTTCTTGAACAGAGTTGGACAGGATATCGTAATGTGTAACGACATAGGATTCGTCTTTGTTCTCACTGATGTACTCCGAGTGGCAGAGCAACATCGCGTGATCACTACGGCCAAGTAGTGCATTTATAGTCACGGTGAGCACGACGGCCAAAATAGTGGGTGCGTCATCCGTTCGGAATCGCGTGCGGGTTACATGGTATTTGCGGTAGCAAAAGCTACAGTGCGGTTCTTCGATGGATGTATTTTGCTTTGCGTTTGTTCTAAACACTTTTGGCTTTTTCCCTGACTCTTCTGATGTCTACGGGATATTTTCTCATTTTAAATATTTGTTCAGACCATTGTGGATTTACACGTTGTCCCTTCCCATTGTTCCACCATTTCTCATTTTATGCTCGCTTGATAGCGAATCACCGGTGCAGCGCAACTGTCCATGTTCCTATTGCTCTCATTTCCTACATTCACGTGTTACCGTGTGTGCGGCTGTTACTGTGACTTGGCTGCGTTGGTGTTTTAGCAACGTATCTCCTTGTTACATCGCTTTATCCACCTGGTTTAATCTAATCACCATACGCTTGCCCTCAAGAAAGAAGTGCGCAGTACTTTGAACCGTTACACGCTGACCTTGTTGACCATCGCCAAATCAACTTACATATACTCGTTTTCTCAGTGATGTGGCTATAAAGCTGCAGGTCACTTTAGTTTGTTGGCGTTTTTTTTCGCGCGTTCGACCAGTACAAACATCTCTCTCAGTGTACCAAACTATCATTCGATTGTCTAATGTGATTGAGCAGTCTGTCCAAAGTTGTAACTTGCAAAACTTTGCATTATGCTGGAGCATTATCGACCTAGGGTGTTATGTAGATCTTCAAACCACACGCTCAAGAGTTGTCATTGCGCTACTCAATTTCCTGGTATAACTGCATATTTAATCAACTAGTCTGTTCAACCGCCTACTGCACTACCACTTTAACCTTAGAGGTCTTTGCGTTTGTATAACACGCGCTTCAAAATGAATCTTACACGAGGTCTGTCACTATTTTTCGCACTAGTGGCGTCAGGCAAACACTTAACAAAGCTAAGTAGTGTGCGTACATAAATGTTACTACTGCCCTCCAACCTACTTCCACTTTATGGCTATCAACCATGTAACCGGTGCCTGCGCTCATCAGACTTTTTTAATCCCATGTTCTCCCTCTATTTGCACGTTTTTCTGCTATAACCGTTCCATATTTTCAACGGACTAAAGTAATGTCTGCACCATTAATTGACATGAGACTGGCCACATTCCCGTCAACGAAATAGATGGAGCATCTACCCAAATGGTACAAGTTGTCTAAAATCAATGCATATTACTTGGTCAACCCAGGAATATTTAAAATATGGAGTAGCTAGATTAGCTATCAAAATCGATCTGCCACAACTAGAGAAGGTAAATTCATGCGTCGCGGGACGGACTCTAACATTTCCGAAACACCTCGTTGGTTCTGCTGTTCACTGGTTTCGATCGTATTTTCTCATTGAAACGGTCTTTCCTAGGATACTTTGCTCATTCTGTTTCCTCCAGAACAGTTACCATCACACAACTATTTTCTCTATTGTGCCATTCACATTACTTCGCACTTGATCGATGCTCGCATTTTGCTAGTCCTAACGCACCCATTCACGTGTATACGGCTTGACAACGACACACCCTCCGCTTGAACACTGACACTGTTAACTACAGCAGATCACAGATAAACATTTACACAGGCAAACCATGTCCGTACAGTTGCGCGTGTTCTCATAACTTGCCTTGTTCATAAGCAGAATCCGTTGTCATTGCCAATGTCCCATATTGTTCAGCTTGTTTTCATATCACGGTTCTCGATAATCTCAAATCATGTAAACCTTGATAACTTTACTGCCTATTCTGAATTGGTCTTTTTCCACGTTGACAGTTTTACACCTACTCTCACTGCACTCCATGTTCGGTAGCATATCTTGGGGTTGGTTCGTTGTCCGCACTGAAATTCTTTCCCTTTTACAGGTCGGGGAAAACGGCGCAGGCAAAACCACCCTATTGCGACTACTTTTGGGCCAGTTGGAGCCTACATCTGGCTTGCGGCGTACTCACCGTGCCCTCCGATTGGGATATTTCTCACAACACCATGTCGATCAGTTAGATTTAGGACTGAACAGTCTGGAATTTCTCATGCGAAAATTCCCAAGTCAAAATGAACAACTGTATCGTTCGCAGCTGGCTGCTTTCAATATCACAGAAATGCTGGCGCTACAACCAATAGGCAGTCTGTCCGGCGGACAAAAGTCGCGAGTAGCTTTCGCAGCTATGTGCATGTCCAAGTGAGTTCGTGTACACACTAAGCAGTCACTTCATCCGCTTCCGCTAATAGGGCTGTTTTATATAAGCCATGTAAATGTTTGGTGACGCTCACGTTGTAATTTTCAATTGTAGGACTGACCATTTATTTATCATCACAAGAGCGCATATTCCACAGAGCTGAGTTGTGATTTCTGTTGGCTTGCGCACCTTCAAGAAATGCCTACACCGAAATAGTTTCTTATCCAGAGGGTTACGCGGTTCGGTTAGCATGTGACCATATTTTATTGCTCCATTTACCGCACATTTGTCATGCCTTATTGTTGATCTTATGTTCCGCATACCGATTAATTTCTTTACTTAGAAATATACGTTGCGCGTCACACGGGCTACGCCACTAGTTGATTTAGTTAGCCTCAAAAATCTCTACATATTGCTAGGTAGGGTGTGAAAAGAAAAAACTATGGACACATGCAACCGCAAAATACAGCTAAGCTAAATGCTAATATTTTTGAAGGGGACTAGGAAATAACGGAAAATAACAGGAAAGGCAGTCACAAAATAAAAAGTAGACCACGGAGCCCTGAAAGCACCTGCATATGTTGGCATGCGTCAATCGTGCTCTGACTCTACAAAGCGTTACACAAACATCCGACTGCATAGCAGTTCTCATTTTAAGGCTGCTTGAACTATACCCGTCATTTTTGCTGACTCACTAGAGTCAAATATCTGTGCATAGTACGAGGGTCATTCAGTAAATAAGGTGAATTTTTCGGTATAAGGACTTCTAATACAGATAGAAGCTTACTTTTAGTTTATTTTTGTTGTTTTACTTCTTTTTCACATGGATGTAATTTCTTTTGCAGATTGAATGATAACTTTGAGAGTTGTGGCGATTAACAAAGATGGCCGACCAAGAAGCATACTCCAGGATTGAACAGCGGTCAGTTATCAAAATTTGGGTTGCTGAGGAGTCCAAACCAGTTGAAATTCATAGGAGAATGTCAATTGTGTATGGTGCCACATGTTTCAGCCGAAAAATGTCTACAAGTGGGCAAAGTTGTTTAAAGAAGGACGGAGCAGTGTTGAGGATGAAGACAGGCCTGGGAGGCCTACAGAAGTGAGGTCTCCTGAAGTGATCGAATCAGTCAATGACCTCATTCAGTCGGACAGAAGGGTGACAGTGGATGACGTTGCAAGGACTTTGAGCTTATCTGTTGGGGCGGCACTCAAAATTGTCCATGTCGTCCACTGGCACCCTTCTGTCCGACTGAATGAGGCCATTGACTGATTCGATCACTTCTGTAGGCCTCCCAGGCCTGTCTTCATCCTCAACACTGCTCCGTCCTTCTTTAAACAACTTTGCCCACTTGTAGACATTTTTCGGCTGAAACATGTGGCACCATACACAGTTGACATTCTCCTATGAATTTCAATTGGTTTGCACTCCTCAGCAACCAAAATTTTGATAACTGGCCGCTGTTCAATCCTGGAGCATGCTTCTTGGTCGGCCATCTTTGTTAATCGCTACAACTCTCAAAGTTATTATTCAATCTGCAAAAGAAATTACATCCATGCGAAAAAGAAGTAAAACAACAAAAATAAACTAAAAGTAAGCTTCTATCTGTATTAGAAGTCCTTATACCGACAAATTCACCTTTTTTATTGAATGACTCTCATAGTTATCAATGTACAGCACACGTCGGTTGTCATTTCTTGCCTATACTATCATTAGTGCATGTTTGTAAATTGATAATCGCCGCCTAGAAATGACATGTTTCGCCAATTTCTCAGCAAACGTAATCTTTGCTCCTGTCTGTTCACTTCAGCCCAAATTTTTTGATCCTGGATGAACCAACGAATCATCTAGATGTGGAGACAATCGCGGCTTTGTCGGATGCTTTGAAAGCGTTCCAGGGTGGTCTGGTGCTGGTATCACACGATGAACGACTCATCGAGACAGTGTGCAACGAAATATGGGTGTGCACGCAAATGGGCAAAGGGGTAGATCCATCGAAGGGCAGTCGCGTGTACGCTTTGCCAGAAGGGCTGGCACAATATAAAAAGGCGGTGCGTGCTGAGCTTGAAGAAGTGACCAGATAGGGCGATGCTACCACTCGTGTCACTTAGTCGGTGTACCATTTTTGTTAAACATGCACCGTGCCATGAACCAGCTAGTTGTTTTGATTTTATTTTTTTGGCTGGGTTATTTTACATTACGCCTGGTAGCTCCTGGTCACTTCTGTTTTCGAACGCTGATAAGTCCCTCCTCATCACACATGGGTTAGTTTGCGCAACGCAATCGATACCCTTCTGTATTGCACTTAGCCCCCTGCACCATGTGAACACTTGTTACCTCGGTTTCGTTTCACGCTCTCGCGCGCCCAGTTTACAATTTACACTGAGGCGCACAAATCTCAAATGCACGGTTCGTAATCCGCCTGCACATACCAACTAGTCATGAATGGGAATTTTTGAAATAATCATTTGAAAGTTCATTGCGCCAGCTTCCAAACCAGATAGCCATCCATCATCATCACTACACGTTAGCTGGGGGTGAGAAACACCTCATCTAATGTGCTGCAATACAAAGATAAGTGACATAACACACTACAAAAATATGATGTTAAATATTATATCATGTGTTTTGCATGAGATCCGGATTAGATGGGGGATCTAAAGAAAGGGGGATGGACAAAGAAACTCACAACACAAACGCCACTGGGGCCGGCTCTTCGCCATGTCAAGTGTGTCCAACCAAACTTGTTCATCGTCCTTAAGACCCAAGCCAGGCAGTCTGGATACACTAATTAACGCCAGTTTCGAAGTGAGGATTTCCATTCCTCTCGATCAAGTCATCGCTTGGTCTCCCCTTCTCTTCCAACCGCATCCCCGGCGAGCAAACAATGCACCTCACGGGAGTCGGTGTACTAGCATATGCACTCGTGGCCTAGCCATCGGAGCCTGGTGCGTTATATAATGGTGCCGAGCGGTTCACTCGCTCTTCCTGTACCAAATACGCGACGCTGAACACGCTCATTGCTCACTCGGTGCTCCCACTAGGCATGAGCTAAGCTGCGAAGGCAGCGATGATCGAATGTTATGTCTGTCGACCTGATGGGCCAGGTTTCACAACCACATGGGAGGGTTGAACGGACAGCTGCCCTTCAAGGCGAGAGTAATGTCGCCACAGATGGCGGAGATTAGCAAATGCACCTCGAGCTTTTGCTATGCGGTTCGTAATCTCATTTTCGATCCCACGGGCGCCAATATAGCTGTCCAGCTACTTAAATTTCTGAACGACTTCTAACTGATCACCACCAAGCATAAGTGCACGGGTGGGTCCAATCTTGGAGAAGTACTTTGCATTTCGATGAAGCAAAGCATAGCCCAAAATTATAGACAGTCAGTACTGCTTGGCATGTTTGGTAGCTGTCACAAATCAGAGCAATATCATCCGCATACTTCAAGTCAAGTAGTCTCTCCACACCTAGGTTGTCCAGCGAATGTTGTTTCCATGACTTTGTCAACTGCGACTATGACTGAGCGGCTTCAGTCTGTCGTGATAGTCTCCTGCTCCCAAAGTTTCATTAGCAACTCGTGTAAATCATCTAACAGAGCAGTTCCTCCGAATTTGAAGACGGCTGGGGGAATTCTATCTGGCCCTGCGGCCTTATGCAATTTCAACAGCCTGCGCTTACATTCGACTTCTGCGCGTGAAAGCGCAGGGAGAAGGGCGCTCAGTGCCCAAAAAGAAAGAGAACTCAGGTCGTTTGAATTGACTTGCTAAGTAATCGGCCTAACGCTCCAAGCGTTTTGACAGGCTCTCCACTCTCGTCGCCTATGGTCTCGCTAGCACCAGCTCTTCTGCTGCCTGTTTCCCGTATCAGACGGAATAACAGCAGGGGCAGCGGCAGCGGCTGTTTCCATCTCCGAGGCACGATGAGACCACTAGTCTTCGCGTTCTTTCTCCAGGCTGGCACGCAGTTTTGCCCTGAGATTTTTATGAGTCTCATTGTATCCCCTTCCAGCCGGAATACGTCGGCAGGCATCCATAAGTTCCACAGACTATGTAGAAACCCAAGTCCAGTTTGACAATTTGATTTGCCACATGAAGACATGCCTGCTGATAGTAACTTCTGACGAATAAGCGACCATTGATCTTCGACGGTGTTCAGTAGGCGCTTACTCATCCCGGATGTCAGCGCACTTTGATTCACATTCAGAACACCTGGCTTCGCCAGCTGGCTGGTCAATCCGTTCACATCGACGTTGCGGACGTCCACCGAAACGCATCCAGAGGTCGGCGCAAACGAGTTCGTGATCAGAGTCCACGCTCGTACTCCAAATCGAGCGACAGCTTTGGACACAGCCACTTCAGCGGAAAGATCGATTTGCGTCCTTGGCTGGTGGGTGCCAAGTCATTCTTCTGCAGGTGCTGTGTGGAAAGTTTGTGCTCGCGAGAAAGAGACGAGCATCTTCACACAGCTCACCGTTATCATTACGGGAGCCAACACCATGTTGGCCGCCCAGATGAAGCTCATCAGAAGACAATTTTTGACTTGGACGTTTAGATCGTCGGCCAACACCACAGTATCCGTGCTTCTTCTTTAACGAAGGAGATCGTTAAGTTGGTAATATAAATCATCTTTCACCGCATCAGTGCTACAGTTTGTATGGGCGTAGGCAGCAATGACAAACAGGCACCGTTTGTTCCCGCGCGACTTCGTAGCATGAGCAGAATACTTCCAGGTTGCCCAGGCCTAGACAGCAGAACGATTAGGGTTCTCGACCAAAGCCTTTGGTTCAAAAACCTTACCTCAAGACAGCGGGGTTTTGGCACTAAACTACAGACAGCCCGTTTTATGGAGTAAGGAGCCACCATCACTCCAACCCCCCACATGGAGCGCCAGGAGACTGAGTTTGTCTGGCCTCTAATCATTGACCAATCTGGTACGAGTGGCTCTGAAGGTGCAAATAAAACCCCACCTAGCATAGCTCAATGGATCACTGAGGCGCACAAACCATTGCATCACGTTAAGGTCCAGTCTCGTCGCGATAGTCCTCCACATGCCCGGAAATGCACTAGACTTCAGTTTCAACCTTTCGGGCGTCCTCATGGCTGCCAAACAGGTTGAAACTCCAGTCTACTGCTTTTCCGGGCACGTGGAGGACTATATGATTAGGAAGCTTAAGGCATACGCAACGCATGCCCGTCCCTTCGGCCAGATTGAAACCAGAATGTCTCACAAATAAAAGCTGGGGGTTGAAGTTCATATCACGATGAGTCAGATCACATTAAGGGGAGTACGAAAGTATATCTGGATCATATGAACTCGGGAGATAGCGCAAGTAAAACGAAGACAGTTGGTAACTTATTTTCCCGCTGCACGAAGTACGGGACGTAGAGCTGGTAAAAGTTTTGGCAGTGGAAAGACACTGGAGTGAAAGGCTGTTTGTAACTACACCACTGGGAAGCCAGGAAAGTGGCGACCGTTTTCAAGAATTTGTAGCTCAGCTTGTAAAGACAATGTAGTGTTGAACTGCAGGACTGGTGACACCAGAAGTAAAATATGCTTCAAAGGCCATGGGTGTCTTTCCATTTTTGCTCATCCTCAAGTTTCGCTTCTGGTCGGATTTGATTGCGGAAACCACCCAGAATGTTTGCAGTTACCTAAAAACAGTGTATAAAGGAAAGCATATGTAGATTTGGTCAAGAGTTGCAACCTACATCCAGTCACAATCAACTTATAATGGAGAAAACGAATCCAAAAGACAGTAATCCAACAAAAGAGTATGCATGTAATCATTAGGAACGTAGCGGTAATCTGTATGCGTAAAATTATAAGAAATCCGGGCAATGGCCTCGCGACTTCTTCCTTCAAGCCATTTTACCCATTAAACGAGTCTGCAGCCCGTACTTTGTTAGCATGCCTGTGGCAGCTGGCGATGTAACTTGTTGGTTGATACCTTTAGCACCAGTGTCCAACGTACTATAGAATTTGAAGTAATGGAGGCACGTTAGGCTATGCTGAAGGTATGTTTCAAAGACCAGAATAAGCTTGCGTTTAAATCGATCGGATAACTTCTAGAAGTTTTTCTTCTTGTGATTTTCCACACACTGTCACGTGCCCAGTAGGCTTTAACAACTATAAATCCCTTGAATTCGGTTACCTATATGGCTGCATTGGACGGCAGTCACATCGCACGCAACCACATTCATTAGGTAAACTGCAATACGTTTCAAGCTGTATCGACATTTGCATGTTGATTACTTGGCATCCATGATGAAGTTAATGGTTAGTCGCTTGGCTGCCGGGTGTTTACCGTGAAGTGAGTGGGCAGTAACTGCACAGAGATGAAAAGTGGGTAAATCAAATGAGGTATAAAGTTTGCATAAATAACTGCACGGATTGTGCGCGCACATTTGCCTAGCGGTGAAACCTAGTGGATGTGCGCACAATAGGGGGTACGCATAACCTACAACGAATATTGGAATTAACGACTGGTTTGACGAGGTTCGGGAGAAACCACAACTACCACACCAGACATAGAGTTCACCGTAGGCCTGAAGTGAGTTAACAGCAATCTTGGATCTTAACCGCTGGAGAAAACTGTTTTTATTTCACATGAACCCAAAGGGGAAGAATATCCGAGATATAGCGAAGGCGACTGATCACGAAGTGCCATGGTGTGGCCATCAATAAACGGTCACGTGAGACACAGAATGTCTGACGCCAAATACTGTTATGTGGCAGGGAGTAGGCAATCGAAAGGAATGAAACTGTCGATGAAAACAGTCGATTCATGAGCGTGTCTGACCGGGCCGAATCTTGTGCGGCTTAAGACCTGTTTCGTTGCAAGTCCTGTTAGGTCTCGTGATGGTGTAATTTTTGGAAGCCCCCGTTTGCGTGGGATATGTGATGACAATCGGTAGTGATGCGGATTTTCGATACGAGATAACTTATCACTTGGACGCACATTTTCCATGTTTCACATTGTCAAGAAATAAAATATTTATCAAGCAGACAACACAATATGTGTTTATCTGGTGGGATCTACTATCGGTAGGCTGACGGAGTTGTTATGGATTCGCTCATGGGATCTACTCTCACCGATGCCTTCTTCGCTAGCTTTGGACGTGATCCTCTCCAACCTGTTATTGCATCGCTGGATTTTTACAGGTATACGGATGGCACGTTTGTTATCTGTGATTTGAGCACTGATTTCCTCGGTTTACTCCATCAACTCAACAGTGCACACCCATCTCTGAGGTCCACCAAAGAAATCGAAAGGAAGGAAAGCTGGCATTGTCAGACTCACTACTGTTGAGACGAGAGGATGGTTCTCTTGGGAGAAGTATCTTTCAGAAGGATACGTGGGTGGGACAATACCACGCACTTTCTGAGTTTCTTGCCTCTGTGGTGTAAACGTAGATTAGTTGAGTACATATTTTACCAAAATCTACAATCCGGAGACGTTGGACGACAAAGAATGCATATCCGAAACGCTGCTTTCAAGCGGTTATCCTACCTCATTTCTCAAAATACACACTATGGTAAGTGAAATCAGTGAGCCTGTCATCAAGTCCCAAAAATGGATTTAATTGGCTAACTAAGCTGAGCTCAACTGAACCGTTATCCGATGCGTACCTCGCAACCAGTAACAAGCGGCGTCACGATGGTGGGTGGGATTTGTCGGATGACGTCGCCGATTACACCGACAGGACCTTTGCATCCCAAGTCAACGTCAGATGAAACGCGCGTAGCGCCGAAGAGATCTTCGGTAACCATTTGCAAGCCACGGGACATGGCATTCACGGCATTACCAAAGCCTTCACGTAAATCGGCCGGCTGGCGCAGGCGTAGCTGTCTGCTCCGTAACGAAGGGCCGGGTGTCAAGAGATCGTAGGCCGTCTGTGAGAAATTCAGGGAATTATAAATCGGTAACCGTGGGACATAAGAAACGCAAGCGGATCTACCTGCATAAGTAGGGCCACATAAGAACACCACAGACCGCCAGGTAAATGTCCACCTGATTTAGCAATGAGACAAATTTGCTTGTAAGGCTGTTCCCATTAAATATGTGAAAATCTTGCACTCAAACATCATATCGTTCAACAAGCATACTGATACTCTTGTTTAAACTCTCGTGCTGTTCTAAAACTTAAAACAAGAAATCCCACCTGTAATTCCAAACAAGTTCAGAAAAAATAAGTTGTGATATAATTCGGTCATTTCCTACAATTTTGTCAACCGCAAAAATGCAACTGGTGTTTGAGATACTAAGAACGTCACATTAAATCGATAGATAGTCAGGCGGTGAGCTTCCAACACGCATGTTATGCAGATGCACGATCTGCCTAAAGTGCACAAATAAGGAATGCCTATGCGACCAAATGTCTTCAAGATCAAATCGCCGTACCACGGCATTGTCAAGTGATTGAACAGCATGCTTGAGTCTGTCCGAAAATCCGTAGTAAAGCAAACTTACCCAAACACCGAACTACTTCCTTATCTAGGATGCGTATATGTGTTTTCCTGTCAGCACTCCAATAAACGAAATAGTTGACTATCGTTGTGAGTTTATCTAGACACACAATGTTTGAATGCAGCTCCCTAGGGAAATGTTTCTTTTATATGAAGATGGGTAGCCCACCGTGCTGGCGGACGTGGGCATGACTCATAGTAATGGTAGATGATCAACAACTCTATCTGAGCGTTGTGTTGACGACGTACTACCGACGAAATCGTGCGTGCGATCCAGACACTAAACAGTATGCACTCGTAACTCAGAATGACGTTTGACAATGAGCAACACAATTACTTCCGTTTCCAGACATACGATTAGGTCAGTCCACTGAAAAGCAACTTGGACAGATCAGTATTTGCTCATTCGGACACTGTTTCATCAAGTTTACTTCCTACTTCAATGACATCTGAATGTGAGATTTCGCAGCTCCATCACTGACTCTATCGAAGTTCAGTGTGGGGTGCCACAGGGCTCAGTACTTGGTCTATAAAAGTCCCTGACTTAAATAAACGATCTCACGAGAGTGATCATAGGGAAATTTCCTAATCTTCGCTGAGGTTCTCAAGATATGGCAGGCCATAAAAACAGGTAACCACGTAGCGCTTGGCAGGGTGTACGAATGAGAGTACCAGGATCTTCATATTAAAGCCACCAAGTTTACGACAATGAGCAGGTGATTACAGCCTAGGAGATCATGTTTCGCAACGCGATTCTAATGAATGCGACCTAGGAGCGATGGTAAAAAACGATCTTGGCTGTTCACGTCAGGTCGAGAAAGCCTCCGGAAAGGATAACCAACACCTTAGCCTATTGCAGAGGGCATTCGGCTCGTCTGTCTTCTTTTAGATGCCCAACGCCTACATTAGGCCCATTTGGAATACACCATCCACGCCTGGCTCAAGCACGATCTTGCCACAATGAAGGTCGACCAAGCTGAAAACCCTTGGGGTCTACAGTGGACAATATCGATGCCTGCGTAGCGACTTGATAATGATATCAAACTCCCAGAAATCCCAACCATGCTTGTCGCCACTCTCTGAAACTGAATCGCAATACTACTCAGACATCAGGTAAAGCTGGCCACACAGTATAGTCGGTTGGAATGTCGCCGAAATTGCTTCACGCTGTGTGCCAACTTTGGAACCCCCTTTCCACTTGCGTTTCCCCCTCCCCCAACTAACAGTATTAAAAAAACACCTCGATGATACACATTTACACAGCGCTGCAGTCCTTTATGACGGGGCGTCAACGTAACACTACAAGCCAATGTGCCAAGTGGTGACCGGAAATGCGCACACGGATTTGTGCTAGGTCAATCGCTTGGCATATACCTGACTACCCTACGTGACGAAGCCCCGCGAAACATTCAGAATACACAACAGACAGAGCGGCCCTCGCCTACCGTAGTTCGGCGAAAATCAGTCACAATCAAATCGTATTGCAAAATTTGGAGTTCATATAAGATATTACCATTCATTTCAACACGAATGCTTTATTAACAGGGATGTACGTGACACATTAATGTGAAAGTTGGCCTTTTTCCATGTGGGCACCTTATAGCGGCAGACCCGAGGATCAATCCAGAGGAACAGAATCATAAACGGACATGCTTTTATTGTGCTTATACGAGGGTGTCTCGCTGTATAACAACACCGGCGAACCGTGCTGCCTAGGGAAGCGTGAATAGCTGCGCGCATCGTAGGCGTGCGGGGGATCCGACCGCGGGTGTTTTCCGGCCCAAGCAAACGATTTGAACTCACAGTCAACGTTCCTCATCGGTCTGTGTACAATGGAAGAAGTAAGTACGATTAGAATTTACACGTGTACCCAGTCAAACCAGGGAAATTTCCAGACTTTCACAAATTTTCCGTACCATCGTTATGTTATTCCATGTGCAGTGGCATTGGTCAGGCACTGGCAATCAAAGGTCATCTGATACTGGACAGGGTCCCGCTCAGCAGGACACGGTCGTTAACCTCACTGAGGCAAGGCAAAGCTAGCTACGAACTCGATCTGTTCACATCAAGTGCGTTAAGGCCGCCGAATCGATAAGGCTTCGGTAAACTGCAGTAGGCGAGGAGTGCTCTGTCTATTGATTATTCTGTGTGAATCACTGGGGCTTTGGCACGTAGAGCAGTCAAGTTTATGCCAAGCGACTTAGCATAATTTCGTGTGCGGAATTTTCGTATGCGCTTTCATCATGGAACAGTGCCCAGTGTTACTTTCTGCACTTCGTTATTTAAACGGTGATACTGTGGAATATATTTCTGATGTACTCACACTGGATTCACGTATCACATGGACACAAGAAAACGGCACATGAACGAGTGTTTTCATTTGCATTTTTCTCAGAATTCGTTAACTGTAGTTAAAATTCAATACCCACAATTCCACAATATCGCATTTAAATTGGTAGATGCTTAGACCAATGATTCATACATTGCTTGATTTTATTGTTTCATCCTAAGAGACTTGTCAAGCACCACCATCGAGAAATGCCGGAGACTGCTCAAACGAGCAGTTATGTATGTGACGCAAACATACATTTGCAGGTACTAACGTCTGATTAAAACGCGACCAACAACGACCAATTAAGGGTATAGGTGTTGATGAAGACAGGTACACACAGTCCCCGCACAACTTCGAAACCTTTGACGAACCAGTCAATCTGAAGGGGAACACTTGGTGGTTGATTGGAATTTTGCCGATCACAGCAGTTCCAGCTCGGCTTGACTGGAATTCGAAATAGACATAGTGAGAAAGCACAGGCGGGTTTCCGACAACCCGCAAATGTTAATTGGTAGGGTGTCTACTGTTCAGGTAATTACCACTTGCTAACAGATTCGAAACAGGGAGTACTCTGATACATTAGGTTTTAACAACGGATGAACTGAGAATGTTCGTTAGGTTGTACATGTACCACCTGTCCACATGGCAGCAGTGACGCTCTGCTATCGTATTTGAATCGAAACTATAAACAAATGGCTAACAAAGAGTATAGGGATGAGGAATGAGACGATAAAGCTAAGTGGATTGTTGAGACACACAAATGTTTCAACATAACGGTCAAGTTTCATTACGACAATGAACTGAATATTTTGTGGCCAAAACAATTATAAGCCTAATAAAAGTGACGAGAATAATAATTTGTGAGTAAAATTGTACATAGATTTTGCATTCCTGTTTCTATTTAAACCACAAAACCATCAAAATACACATTTTGTTTTTTTCAAGAGGATACAGGACGTTTAGACAGCACCGCAACTGACAAAGTTGGAGCATTCTTCGGTATCTTACGGTAGGATCTCAATAGTCAAGTAGTGGAATTTAGCTCCCAAACTGTGGTACAGATGCAGATTGCGTATCACAACAAAAATATCGTAGAGGACAATCTAAAATCCACATGATTTTCTTGATCTCTTCTTCAGTAGACTTTGTTTCATTGCGTTTTCCCTCTCATACTCCCCTTCGTTACGAATTTCTTCAGTTTCAGCCCGACTCATGGTAGCTGGGTACATCGCACCGGTGCGCGAACCGTAAGAGTGCTAACAGTGCACCGGTACCTGGAATGCAGCTGTAGGCGGTCCCGAAGGGTTTGGATACTGCAAGGGACTCATTGGCCCATCCAGGAGCAGGGATTTGAACCTAGAACTAAGAGATCGTGAACCAAATGACTTAACAATTACACCACAGACCCATAAAAAAGCCGGAAGAACTGAAACGAAGAGGATAACATATGTCTACTGTAGCTGAGCTATTCTCTTCAAGGAAAATTTGCTAAGCTATTTCTAGATTCCGACGTATAAATACATTCTTACAGTAAGTATTTGACAAGCAGACAAGCGAAACATCCAACTGGCATAGGCGCATTTTTCGACAAATGATTCCTGCCCGCTTCAGCCCCCTAACAAACTGCAGCATTTATAGATTAAGATAAAACGTAAGCAGCATGACCCAATCATTCAGTCCCGAAACGAAAATTACCTCAGCAACAGACTGAACGGCTCGAATACCTTGGATACTGAGCTGCAGAGTGGCCCACAAAGTACTAGTAGAAAAGGAACGTGTTCCATGGCGAAGGCCATGAATAAATCCGCCGCCGCTTTCAGGTTCGTATATCGTTTTTTTTGATGTGTAGGATCCAATTCCTGTGTCATAAGTGCTCATATCTAAGTCTGCCGTCCTCCAGTAGCCTCGTTGCACTTCAAGCAAAGAATCCGAGCTAGTTCTAGAACCCATGTACAAGCTGTACATCGGTTGATAAACTAGGTCCCACAATCCCATAACTGCAGGAAAATAGAAGAATGAGTGGAATGGTTCAAATATCAAAGCATGAAAGCAAGTAGATTTGAAAGATGTGTATCAGAAACGAGAACGAAAATCTTGGAAACACCACAACTTATGACATGATAAAATGCGCCTGCTGGAAAGGGCAAATAACCAACTAAACTGTTTATTCTCGATGATGTAAGGCACACGTGTATCAGCATGATCGGAAAGTGCATATTTTATAGAAATGTGGTCATACGTGGATCAGGAAAATTGTAAATCAGCCCATATTCCGACATTTGGAAATGCGTCAAAGTTTGTATCACTAGTGCTCGAGCCACGTTAACAGCAGGACGCAAAGTACGGACGAATTGCAGTAATACGCCACAATAGAAAGAATCTAAGGTGTGCTAGTAGAAAGCTAATATGCAAAAGAGTGAACCCTTACGGAATTGCGTTACTTCGTGCATTGGCCCAATACAAGTTGCCAGCATCTGAGGCAGCTGTGAAACGAGGATATCTCGAATATCGGCCGAAACTTCTTCTAGTAGACGTTCCAAACTGGGATATCCCCTTTGATAAACCCTCCGCGGAATGACTAGCTCAGCATTGTGCAATTGTAAGAGAGTGCGAAGGAAGCCGTGCATAGAACCCTGGAGAACAAAAGGAGGTTAGGAACAGCAGCAATGATAAATGAACACGGCGATCGAGGAGCGAATACTAGGATCACCAGGCGCCAACAAGGTCATGTAAATCGGTGGGCCGGAAGACTTATGACTGAAGAGTATGATTTCATTCAGATGAATTTCCCTATGACTGGCTTCTGCCACCTCAGAAGAGGGAAACAAAATGCCGAGTGTGAAGGTGAGAATCACAAAATCCAGTGCTGATCATAGTTTCGAGTAACTCGACTCTACAGACAAGTGAATATTTTAGATGAGTAGGAGTTTGGAGATGGGATAAGTGGATTGGTTGGACAAAGCCCTGAGGAGCCATGATACTAAAGTTACAGTGATGTTGCATTCATGATGCTTCTTCACCGCAGTTGGGCTACACCAACTTACACTTAATCTAGGTCACTTTAATGTGGATAAAAGTCACTCCACTTTATTTGGTTTGTTCAATGCTGTTCGGTGCCAATTTTTGCATGTTTGCCTTCCATTAAATTTCGTTGGTTGTTTGATACCGCCGGTGTGGCTGAGCTTGATGTGAATGTTGACAAGGTGGCTACCTGTCTAACACCTTCCACCTTGACTGTGAATCGTTGCTGAGGGACAGAGTGCACGGTCCTCGTGGCCGTTGTAGGCTTAAAAATGGTTCCATCCGGTGTGGAGCGGAATACCGCTTAGACACCGCTTTGTTTACGTCTGGTAGGCATGATTCCCTGCCTAGATAAACAGGAACGCTGCTACTGTGCATGCTGAAGGAGTGTGGGTCGGTTCCGTTTTCAAGTCCAGTCAAGTCACAATAAGCTTTATGTACCCTAATGGGTTCATTTTTAGCATTTACACCACCACTGCGGACACCTGGATGATAATATCAATATACATGTTCGGGTGGAAAAATGGAAAAAAGCAGAACTGTTACTTTAACAAGCGCTCGCGCAGCATGTTAGTGACTTTCGCTGGGTAAACAAGCAAACGTGAGAGATAAGGCAAAACACTATTACGATATGATGACGTGCGGGAGAATAAAATTCTGAATTTCGAACGAGTAGAAGAGAAAGAGAGCGTTTCGGAAAGATCATTGTGAAGTGGATGAACTCGATCAGTTAGTGCCTTAGAGGTAAAATCGTTGCAGGCATCAAGATGTCTGGAAATGATCAAATCAACTAAAAAATCTCTTGAAAAGTCGCTGCAACTAGAAATGTGCTTTATAGAACGCACCAATAAGATGTAGTCTTTCTGAAGCAGTCCAGGAAAAATGACAGAAGAGCGGTATAGCCAGTGGGGAATAATACAAGAGGTCACAAACCTGAATATTAAAATACGAGGTACTGAAAGCACCTTAAGTCTGAGGGCATAAAAAGAAAGATTTCTGACTTTTTGAAAAGTTTTACAGACGTGCGCGGACCAAGAAAGGTTCTGGGGCAAAAAAACACCGAGATACTTGACGGCGGAAGAGCGGGGTAGGGGGTTTTCATTCACAGTAAGCGTGGGGGAGAAAGCCATGAGGGACTGCAACTTATCGCCATGTAGAAAAGAAAATATTACATCCCTGCATTTAGAAGCATTACGCGTAAGAGATCTGGATGAAGACCATTCCACCCAATCTTCAAACCCACGTTGAAGTGATGAAGAACCATGGTTAATGGGGGACATACATCCCAGCACAATATCATCAGCATATTTACATCCTATAAACGTGCTTTGTATAGGGAGATGTTCAACATACAAGGAAAATAGAAAAGGTGATAGGATCGCTCCCTGTAGAACACCACAGTCGGCACGGAGGACAGAGGATTTCTTACCGTTCTACTTGGTGAAGTGCGATCTGTAAAATAGTCATGTAACAGATTACACACACCAGAGTGAACTCCATTTTCGGATAGCAGGTTTAGCAACCTTGACCTATCCAGGCTTCCAAAGACATTCAAATAATCCAGGAAGAGAAGCCGTACAAATTTTCATTTTTGCTCTAATGCAGCGGCTATAGAATGAACAACATGCCACTGCATCCAATGTGGAGTGCTGGGGTCTATACGCAAACTGGTAGATATCGGTTTCAGGGGCGGCTAAAAAAATCCGAGGAATTAACAGTCTTTCGAAAACTTTTAGGAGCACAGATGTACATGCAATCGGGCGATACTTTTGAGATCAACTTTTTGTTTCGGGAGTGATACCGGCTGTTCTCCAAATGTCCGGGATCACACCCGTAGTGAGGCATTGGTTAAAGGCAGTGTGAGAGAATCAGCACACTCCTTCAAAGCTAATGGTGAGAGAGCATCCAGACCGCAAGCTTCGGTTGCCTTTAATCTTCTGAGCTCCTTGTGGATGTTGGTTTGATAGAAGGGCGCGGCTGGACTTGAGCTAATGAAGAAGGGCAAGGAAGATGAGCTTAGTGAGGCGGAACTAAACTCTGAATACAGTTTATCCACATCCTATTCACCTCTCCGGCTGGAAACGATCTTACCACACAGCTGACTCAGAAACCCCCATAAATCGCGACAGTTGTGGTTGCTTAGAACTGCTTCGAGGTCTCGGGTTTAATTGCCGTGGTTAGGCTTTTGACAAGTAGTATTCTTGCACTTGTAGGCCCATTCTTTCATCCTTCGAAGTCGCTTTAGTAGTGGTGAGGAAAATATATCTGCCCTTAGATAGATCGTTTCAACAGGGCAACATATGTCGAAGCAATATTTGATGTAGTCCGTAAGATGGTCACATTCAAGCGACAGGTCCTCGTCGTTGAAGACCGAAAAATCAGTTAAAGAAAACATCTGATCAGGTCACAAGGTTAAAGTTGCCATACTCCGTCAACCATTTGAAAACGTTACGTGTTACTGCCTTAAATCCGTGCCTTATGGAATACGGCCATAAAGTCAGGGACACTTGCAAACGTATTACGAATAAATGTCTTGGAAAAAAGCGCAAGAATCGTGCTGGCTGGCAATCTGGCCTCAGTCGTTATTCTGTCGACAAAGCGCAAGTCCAACTGATACTTTCCAGTAATGTTCACTCGCTCCTTGGTAGAATCAGTGAACTCAGTGCCCTTATGCAGCGAAATGGGTGTGTTAATACAGGAGGCATTCTGTTACAAGGAAGCTGGTTGCATGCTGATGTGGCAAATGGGGTATTTTAAATCGATGGCTACTTTCCCATCAGGTTTGACCGCCCCGGGAAGCCCCAGTTTCATGGTGGTGGTGGTGTTATAACACGTTAATCAACGTTGGTGCAACGCAGCAATCATAATATTTACGCACTCAACTATTTTTACAAGCTGCCATTTAGTTGAGTGCAAAGCGAAGTTCCTAAGAGTGGTTTTCGATCAGTCATCGTTGGAAACGTATACATTGATCCTAACACATCTGCATCGGAGTTACAGCTTTTTGAAGACCAAATTTCTTCAACGCCACTGCTTAAATTAGATTGTTCTATCTGTATTGTTGCTGGAGACTTCAATAGAAAGGATACAACATTCTTGAAGTCACTTGGCTTGGTAGACCTAGTGACTGCTTCGACCAGACAAGATGCCGAGTTGGACGCTGTGTTCACAAACAAACGTCAGTTAGTTGCCATACAAAAGCGGACTCCTTTGAGCAGCTCAGAGCATCGTATTTTAAAAATGTGTCCAGTCATCTACAGTAGGTCTAATTTTTAACGCTGAGCAGACGGACTTACAAGGTTATCAAACGGCGAAATTGCTCCTTGGAAGATATCACGAGGCTACAGACGATTTTTTCCTGAAACGTGGCTCCCATCCACATGCCTCCCGGTCTTATACCTGAATATGGATATATGTGGATGGAGTTATGGTTGGGACAGTGCAAGCCACCTGTGGTCGCTCTGTAGGCGCAGGCATCCTGTGGCTGTCTTATGGAGGCCACAATGACAGACAAATCCGGAACCGGATGCTGCCAACCATCTATATACAATCCAACCTGTTATGGCGACCAGCCAAAAACACCCCTCGTTTTCTCCTGAATATAGTCCCTATCCATGAACCTTTCGAACACAACCACTTATAGTCGGTCCCTTGAGTGGTCGCCTTAGACAGGTTTGACTGTATATATATCAACAAAATATCCGTCTGATTCCCCAAATTGGCTTAACAACTGGTCAAGTGATACATACAATTACACTGGGAGTACAGTTGAAAATATAATACTTAGAGATGATTCCAGTAATGGGACGTTTTATACAATGAAAGTAATGGCCAAAGCCCACTCTTACTTGCGACCTTGTGGCAATAGTGATGGGGGCGTGAGTTAGTCAGTTAGAACGTAACAATTGTCGCGAGAATCTACTCGTGCTTTGAAGATTAAATTAATGAGGGATGACAGCATGCGAATGATTGTGTTAGTGTTTCGGAAAGCAGCAGATCAAGTCGCACAACGTACCGAATTCCATTCAAGATTACGACCATGGTAATCCAGTCGGATGGGCAGGTCCGGATAGAAAGTGACTTTTCTGGATTAAAAAATATATAAAGGAAAAGTCATCATCGAAATAAGGTGTCACATTTTATGGACGAACTCAGGTACCAGTTTAAACCTTAAAACCGTTAGGTTCATCAGACGCATTTCAGCTAGAAATCCACATCAAATTTAAAGTGATTGCAGCAGACATTCGGAGAAAGTAAAGCAGTGTTCTAAGAAAAGACAGAGTGGTTTCACGCTCTGATTTCGAGTTGAATGGAACTCAGTGGCCATGAGGTGTACATCTCGTTCTCTCGGGAAATGTACGTTAATATAACCATTCGTATTATTAATTTGAAGCGCGGTTGCAGTTAAGTGGTATGCTAATATGTGGATAACTAGTGCGTTAGTGGTGCCCCACAAAGGATTTTCTCTAGGTTGCACATTGAAAGGCAATAAGAATAAAATCAGTACGAGCGTTACTCTCCTAATACATGACTCATATAACAAGAAGCGAAAACTATGAATGTCATGATAGCGACGAAACGATATCAATAATCTCCTAGCTCACAATGAGGTGATGGATTGAGGCTTCAAGCTAAATAATTATACTTACCAGCAAGACAAATTACCACAAACCCACTGGCAAGAGAAAAGGTGATGAACCCAAAAACCGTCTGAATGTTGACGGCCTATTACATATGAAAAAGGGCATAAAAAGGAATCATGGTGATGACCTATTGCTTAGAAGAGCGAGCAAAAAACCTGATCAACATAATAACGGCTTACTAGCCTTAGTTCCATATCAGCACATAACCAGATGAGGCGTTGAAGTGCGGATGAAACCTATCGCGGACTATACCGCATGAAAGCACGTCCACAAGAGACGGTTCCACGGATGGTCGTATTACTTCGAACTGCCTACATTTATTCCTATGCTCTACTTTCCACATTTCTATCTGTTAAATAATCGAGCAACGAAAAGTTTCTCTTGGAACTATACGTGAAATTCAAAAGATTTTCTCTGCCATCTGAGTATGCCGTACATAATGATCAGACAACCCATTTGGTTTGTGTCTCGCACCGTCAAGAAATATACAATTTATTTATTTATGAGAGAGGGATCTAAGCAAACGTTCGTGATCATTCCAACTGCAACTTATCGACACCTCATGGTCAAAAATTGACGTCTTATCATTAGTAAGACAGATCACTCGGAGCTTTCACTGCATGGTGCCGTAAGCAACTGTACTCCACAAGTAACTGTGACTCACACACAGTTTGAACCAGGAGACTAGCGACAATGGTGTCGGCACCAAACGATATCCTACAATACCACAAGCAGAAAACATAGTGCGTCATTCGTATCCCAGTCAGTCAAGTCAAGTCAATATAAGGTACCCGAGTGGGTGCATTTTCAGCAGTATACAATAGCTACCGCGGATGTGCTTAAATGACATTAAAATGCGATTTGTACGGCCGGAAAAATGGTATTAGAAGCAGAATTGTTACTCGAATAGACAGTCCAGAGTCTGCATCCTGTTGAAAGCAGAGCGTCTAAACCCAGTTTATCGATTGGGAGGAAGATTCCTCAAGCTACAATACGCGTTCTGCTAACTTCGTGCAGTATCTCAAATCTCATTTCCAAAATTCGGTGGAGGAGAATATTAGTGGTCCTGAAACTTGTTTAACCGAAGGAAACGTCAAGTGCAGTGAAAGATGGTAAATTCGCAGCAGATAAAGAAGGATGTTCCTATGAAAAGCCAATCGTCGATCGAAAGGCCCCGCCACTCATTTAAGAAAATGGAACGAACAAACAGTAGGCAATCTGGTGGTCAGACTTCATTTTCCACCACAATGTTAACCAGTGCCCGTTCGAATTTTACGCCATTTACATTCGAGTTGGTAAAAAAAGATCTTATCGATGTGCTCTTAAAAGGCATAGAAACCTAAGGCACGGGACTTTGGAGGGTTCGCATGTGAGGCGAAAATCAAGTAGTTGATGCATAAGGGGTTATAAGTGACGATGGGACGGGGCACAAGTCTTGCCTAATATTACAGGAAGAAATTCATCACATCTAGGCTCACTCAGACAGCCGTCACACGCCCAGAAAAGCACTGTACGCGCGTTTCATCCTTCCGGGAATCGTCAGCAGTGCGCATCCCATCGGAACCTTGGCTGGGCTCGAACCCGCGACTCGACTGTTGCCAGTCCGCGGTTGAGACCACTGAGCTACGGGGGACGGCAACGACCATCGTGAATAAGTTACTGGATGTGATTGGCGGCTTAAGTTTGGTAAGCTCGTTGCTCTGTGAGGGAGCTACCCTGTTCTCTGCACGGCAGTAACGTGTAAGTCAGTGGATAGTGAGCGGCGCTATATTAAATCCAGTAACTTATTCACGATGGTCGTTGCCGTCCCCCGTAGCTCAGCGGTCTCAACCACGGACTGGCAACAGTCGAGTTGCGGGTTCGAGCCCAGCCAAGGTTCCGATGGGATGCGCACTGCTGACGATTCCCGAAAGGATGAAACGCGCGTACAGTGCTTTTCTGGGCGTGTGACGGCTGTCTGAGTGAGCCTAGATGTGATGAATTTCTTCCTATAACATTCAACTCTTGCCTAATAACTTGCTGCCACCAAATTCATGCCAGGCAGCCAATGCTTTAAAAAGAGTAAACCCACTGACGTTCTTTGTGGTTATCACAGGTTTATCACATGATACACTGCGCTGTTTGCTTAAAATTCACCACAACTGCATGTGGTCAGCTTAAGTAGATTATAATGGGACTGTAAAACTACTAAGCTAGAAATGCTCCCCTTTATTTTACAAGTCAGCTTACTGAAGTGAGCGTTCCACAGACAAACCTTGCATATCACTGCCTTGTGTGAAAGGCTAGAGATAGAAAACATCGAAAGAACCTATCTTCCGGAAGGACAGCTGGATAATATCATCTGCCAAATCCACTACCACACCAGTGCTTTTTTCATATCTACTTCCCCCTCATTTGGAAGCTCCACATCAAAGTTTAAATAGTAGGCTATGGGAATTTTCTTCGTGGTTAACGCTAACGATGGGCTCAAATCGCCCATCAGAGCACCAGTTTGTAGTACTCCTTTAAAAGTTCGTAAACTAGACCATCCCAACTCACGCGGTTCATTTTTTACGAGGTGATCGAACAAGTTTCGGTCAGTGCTTGCATAAAATAACTGTATGGTGCCGCATGGGAATCCAAAGTAACGGATGCAATACTAGAAGTGAAACTCCGATGTCGATACCACATGATTTACCCATCAACTGCGTTTGGGCCTCACATTCTGTAAGGATATGCAGCAAGCTCTTCAGCCCCCTATACTGCAAGGAAAAACTGGCCATAATATCGCTGCGAGCAAGTCATGTCTTTTGACGATGTCTGTTCACTGCCCCACGTACAAAATCGTCTATAATTCATCTAATTGCCTTCATACGATGTCCGATAAATGGAACTATGTAGCCGACCAATTGCGATGGTTGCTGAAATCTGCGGCGAAGGGAATCGTTGCGGTTACGAGGGACCGGGGGCCAATCAGACCAAGGCGAAACGCGCAGGACTGGTCCGGCTCAGCACACAGTAGGAACAGCGTGATTTGCGGCCATATGGCAAGTGGGCAGATCACGCCGGAGTCCAGCTTGACGACACATACCGCTGTGTCAGCTAGCCAGTCGGGGAAGCATCAACTCAATAAACCAACGGTCAATCAGACGCCACGACACAGTCCATCGGCGATGACAACAAGGCGGCACGACGTAAGCTTGGGTTCAGTAAAGGTTAACCGAGTCAACTGAAGAGCGAGCACGAACCAACTAGATGGAACTAATGTCAGAGGCCAGTTAACAATGGTCAGCCAATAAGTGGACGGCAGCAAAATGCCGTATGTAGGCTATTAAAAACCACGATTCTCCCTAATAGTGATTTTTGATCGCCACCAAGACTTTGTTCTTGATTTCTGGAGAGCTACTCGACACCACTCAGTTGGGGAATTTACTCCACTGGTCACTATAAGGCACCACCTGAAATTACTTGCTTAATCAACGGAACCATTCAAGCTGTACACACATACCCACACACTATCATTATTACATGCTTGGTGGCATCCGCTTTCGGAGTTGCCTGTCACTGTGGCCAGCCACAGGACGCCTGCGCCTACAGAGGGACCATGAGTGGCTTGCGCTGCACCACCCACAAACCTCATATCCAGTGTAAACCTGAAGGAATAAGACCGGGAGGCAAGCGGATGGGAGCCAGGTTTCATCAACGGAGTCGGCACACACTCCTTCACAGACAAACACAAGCGTGCTGTATTTAAGGAATCAAGCACACACAATGCGGTGGCTGGACCGTAGTCCGCTCCACACTGAGTGCATGGAACCACTATTTGAGCCTAGCACGACCACAAGGACCGTGCACCCGTCCCTTCCGCAACGACCAAATGTTTCCTGGAGCCAGTATCGCCGATGTAGTGGGTTATAGACAAGTAGGCACCTTGTCAAAGTTCATATCAAGTGCTGCCACACTTGGGATGTCAAACAACATCCAACCACTTGAAACAAGATTATCAAATAAAGTATATATGTTAAAGCATGCGGCTATGCAGACATAACCCTTCGATAAATTAGCATATGAAGTAAGTTGGTTAGTAACGAATCCGCGATAAGTACAAAATGTCCACAAGTTACTCAAAAAATACCACAAACGCGATTAAGTTTACGAGGATAACCACAATTAGCATGAGCAACGTGTGCAAGTTAATAGATTATTCAGGTAGGCAGAACAAATCAAATAAAGTGGAATGAAATGTACCCAGCTTAAAAAGTCCTAGTTTAAGTGTAAGTTGGTGTAGCCCAACTACGGAGAAGAAGCATCATGAATGCAACATCAGCTTCAGCATGGGGCACATCTTTATTACATACAGTATATACTATCGGACTAGCTGATAAACGCTCATCAGCGATATTTCAAGCGCGACTGATCAACATGTGATTCATGCTTGGAAAATTATGCAGTTGACATATAATGCCTGGTCAAAGGTGCCTCGCGTGAATCCCGATTAAAAGTTATTTATTCATTCAATTAGATGTGCCTTCGTTACACGCGTCTTAATGAGTCAGTGGCGCTTCGGCATTCCCCTCTTATGTCTTCTTGTTAACTTTCCTATCTCAGAAACACTACCTAACTATTCCACGTTTTCTTTTCGCGCTACGTTTTGTTTACCTCATTTCGATGCCACTGTAATTACTATCGTGGCGAAACCACACTTCCGCGCTGGGGTCATAGTTTAACCGAATTGAGCTGATATGCGCTCATATGGTCTTCCGAAACGCATACAACAAACGGTTGGCACTTGCTACACAAATATCGGGTTCAGAAGTATGAGTCCAATAGTGACTTCTCCTGATCGCCTATGTTTATTGCGACATGGACTGAGGCTTTACACGAAAACATGGACTACAGTAACAAAGCAGCCGACTGGCACAGTTTCATTTCCGCAAAATAACACCAATACCTTCTTGAAGTAAGAGAGTAGAGAGCAGCCCGCATTATGTCGTGGTGTTGCGTAGTACTCAGGTGTCCTCCTCGGTTTATGTCAACAAAAAAGATAGGATTATCGACAGCAAATAACTAAGTGATTGAAAATCTCCCAATGCGTATACAGTAGTGCCAGATAATGCATGGCACCAACGCAAGATGGAATAAATTGCGGGGGCCTGTAAATTCAGTAACCATCTCAGTAGGATCGCTATGCATCGGACTGCGTGTTATTTCTATCTTCAGAATTTTGTGAGCATCGGATATACCCATCCTGCTGACAACGTCATAAACGGGATAAACAGTCCAATAAGATACCCTACAATCCATGGCAAAATGTCAGTAAAATCACACACCAGCATCGAAAGATAAGTCAACAATTTGTAAAGCACGGATACCTACTGGGACTTTCGATTGAAATGAAGGCAGCCATGGTGATATCGAACTATAAAACAGAAGGCATCACGAAACAAGAAAAAACAAGCTGTCAAAGAAAATGCGTCCGCATACGATGACTTCTCTTAGGCCCAGGTACAGAGGAAGGATATTACTGAATCGACTGCGAGAAAAACAGAACTAAACGAAGAACCAGCAACTTTGAGAAGCGTACCGGATGAAAATATTTGGAGGCCTTTGGTACTCCACAGGCTGTAGCGCCAGGGGTGCTATCGATCTGGTGGTTGTCAGGGAGGTGGTAGGTAGATTGGAGGGAGTTCTAGCAGTAATCCTGGGAATGCATTTCCGGGTCGCTTCGTCTGCAGAGTCCGAAGTGCGTGTCAGTTTATTGTCTGAGTCTCTACGTGGAGATGAACTGGTTGAAGTGCTTGGAGGTGTAGATGAGCAAGCTGTTGTGGAGTTGTCTGCGAACTCAGCACCAGAAGCACAACTGCTTAAGAGCGTTTGAAATTCTTCCAAGAATAGGAGAGTGTTCTAGAGTGGTATAAAGTAAATGTCCCATGGGATTGTAATTGTCAGCCCGTTATAACAGAAATATTCCGGTGGATAAGGGAGTACAAACAGATCAGCTGATGCTTACCTGATCCAAGTTGATACGCAATGGCTGGCACGAGATTTTCGCTTCCAACTCCAAACTCGACGGCGACATGGCGGGGCACAACGGCACACTCTTACGATGTGGTCCAGTAATTGTGATGATATCTGTCTCCTCGTTTTCCGCACCACCTTTGCATGGTGAAGCTGATATAGAGCTCTGCGGGACAGGTACACGCCAAGACATTATCGACATCCGGAAAATTGGGGTGCCATTATGTGCGACTGATGAGTCGGTGGAAGATTTATTATAGGAGTATAATAACTGGTTAATATTTGAGGTCGCAACTCGATCGAGAACCAAGACGGAACCAATGTTGAAAATGCACCGAATGGCTGGTTCTCCAACGGAACAGTGTCGAGCAGCAATGTCTGCATGAGAGTCCATGTCCACCACGTTGGTTGGGAATGTAGCGTGGCGGAAGTACACATTGCTCAGACGGACTGAAATATGCTTCAAAAATAAGTAAATCGGAGATGAGCGACAGATCTCAAAAGTGATAAAAACCAATCGGAATATCACTAAAATAAAGGGAAAATTACCTTTTGTGTATCACGAAACTGCCCTCCTCTGTTATGTAGACCACGCATGCTGGAACAAGAAGCGTCTTTACTCTCAGTCTGGTGCTGGAGTTCACTAGCACCCGTGCTTCCTGAAAAAGTTAAGCGTTGTGATGAAGCCGTTCCCATGGCAGACCGATCGTGACGGAAACGGTAAGTTTTCTTCACTGCATCGTTAGTGTTTGCAACAGAACGAGCTGTTGAAACATGTGCTGGATCGACAGCTAGATCAGAGTTGCGCTGCTCTGATGACAAACAGGGACGTCCGGTAGTGTGTTCTGAGCTTTTAGCCGGGACAGTACGTGAACTAACCCGTGGATTTTGGTTGGCTAAATAAACAGACGAAGAGGAAATGAAGAGTGACTGGGACGAACGTAGCATACGATTATGCAAGGATGACACAATGTGCGTCACTGAAGCTCAACGAAAATATACGACCATTTTGGTGGCAGCCGTAACAGGAGACGACCATCTTCATCACACCAATGGTTACGAATATCTTAAATAAATGAATAATGTGGCAGTTGTACGCCGTAACAGCGCTTCGTTGTCGTGCGACCACCACCAGTCGCACGCGGACTGAGTATACCGCGAGGACGCCCAGTCCTACGCAGATTCAAACCCGCGCCGCAAGAATATGAGACAAGCTCGTTACTTTTACGGCTACGAATACATTACTCCAAGTCAAATATAAAGATAGCGAAGCTCGCAAATACGAGATATCCATTAAGGTAAGTTGGAAAACAGTGGTACAAACATCCCTACTGAACGAATGTGTTGTGAGCAACAGGGCACTGATTTGTGAGATAATTCGTTATCAGAATTTATTTTATTTATCGCGTTGTAAGGCACAGAAACCGTAACACTACTGTGTAAACGACTGCTTCTATATAAAGGTCGTTTACCGCCAGTCGGTAAATATACAATTTCATTTATTTATTTATGAGATGGACAAACGGAAGGTCTATTAACAGACTGAACTGGAAAACTCACGCCATCTGCCAAGATGAACATATACAACTGGATCAGAAGAGGGAAAAAGCTGTACGATGGCCTTGTAAAGACCACACTTGGGCATAAGTGCTGCTGAATTCCGAAAACGAGATTTTTAATTGTTGCTTACTGATTGCAGAAAGCTGTCCAAGGGCAAGATATGTCACGGATCAACGGAAACTAAGATGCAGTGTTTGTCTAGTATCCGGTAATTGACCATGGGTGCTCTTTATGTTAGTGAAGACGACACAAAGTTACGCAGATGAAAGCAACATTGCGCGGACATGCTTGGATACCAATGGATCATATTCGAAACACACTGAAAATTATTCAAACATATATATGACTGGACGCACTGAAAGAAGCAATGTCTGTCCCACCAAACAAATTCCATTCCAAGCAGCAGTTGTAGAGCGTCAAAGCCAGGATGGCGGGAGGATATACAGAAGTTGGATCAGTGAACAAACGGCGCATCCGATTTCTCGACCCAGCCAAGGCTGACTCACAAGGAGAAGGATACTGGTTCTCACGCAATTCGAATGTCTCAGCTTCACCCATGCAAGAAGGTACAAGCCACTTAAATTCAACTTTCGAACCGACAGGACAGAGTAGGTTCGAAGGCAGCATTGACGATTTTATGACGACAAAGTCCCTTGAGAGAGAAGACGGAGAGGACAATTGATCGTAATGGTTGGGTTTGGTATCATGACAACGCACATCCGGAGGTGATAGAAAGGTATTCGTGCGCGAAACTGTCGTAAGCCGTCCCGATAATATGTTGGTCGAGGCGGATCCTCTGAGTCTTCTGTCGGAATGGGGTGTTAGGCAAGGACGAGGTTCCGGTGATCTGTTCTTTTCGAAAACGGTTGATCTGTCTAGATGAAGTCCTGACGAACATATATCGGATGAAGGCTGAAGCGAAGTGACCGGAAAAGATAAATAAGCTCAAGACAGCCAAATGGAAAAAATGAAGAGCAACTTTGGAAAGATGCTTGATCCGATAGATAAATAAATCGAATATTCTCCGACGATGCGAAAAGCTGTTCCCTGGTAGGAACAGATCAATTATTTATTACATCCTTTTCATGCTATTCATTACTAATTTTTCAAAAATAAATATGGGCACAGATTTCGAATTTAGGTAGTATAAAGTAATCAAAATACTTCTAGTTTTCTTCCAGCTGTCGATGAACCAGTGTTCTTCACGATCCCATGAAAGATGCTCAGGCAGAGAAAAAATGAGATAGAATGAAAAGGGCTGTGGTCCAAAAATTACATGTGTTGTTCGTAATTTAGTCAGGCGCCATCGATACCGTTCTCGAAAGCGTTAGCCAGGGAATTTGATGTCCCGAACATATTAATCGCGTTTTGGTAAGTTAACTACCTACAAATAGTAGGCTTAATATTACGCAGTGTACAGCGTGTTCTGATATCACTTGGGAGTTTGTTCCAAATCTTTAAGTGATTGACTAGAAAAAGTTCTCTGATGCTCATAGTATATGTTGGTATCATGACCTTTAACTTTTTGTTGCGGATCGGGTATACGCTGTTTAAAGTCGTGGATGCCGTCATCATAATTGTGAATTTGATGGTTTATGATTCTATGAAGAGAAGGTAAGTTCAGCTTCATTCTCCGAAGTCAAACTGCGTCAAATCCAAGCTTATGGGGAAGAGCCACATAGGTTTTTCGTGAAGCGTCGCTGGAACCTCTCAAGAGCTTATTGATCAGAATTTTGCAGATTTGATTAGACCAATGGGCAGTATTCCATACAAGGCAATACATAGGTTTTTCAAAAACAGATGCGAAATTCCGTGAGATAGAAATGATGGCATATGTATCCGATGGTCTTCATGGCCTTCGAAATTTAATAATCACAATGTTCAGCAAAAATGAAGGCACACCCAAGTCGCGAATTGCAGTATTGCGAGATGTATGCGCCCTGCAGTAAAAGACTGGCGTTATTTGGCATTTGTACAACAAAATATTACACTCGTCTACGGCAAATGACATTTACCACAGTTGGCACCAGAGCTCAAGTGCAGATAGGTCATCCTAAATGGGACGTACGGCTTCCTGGGTATTTGCACGTTCTTGAGAGCAGACAATTTTTATTATCATCAGAAAAAATAAACGTGGTACCATTTCCTATTCTATGAAAGATATCGTTAACATTTATAAGAAAAATGAGGACCAAGTACACTTCCTAGAATTACTCCACTGCTGAATGCTTTCGGTTTGGAGAAATGCTCGCCGAGGGGCACCACCTGCTGTCTACCAATTAGATATGAACACAGCCAAAAAGACATCCGCTCTCCCATGCGTATGCCCTTCAATTTGTCGAACAACCTTCGATGAGGCACTCTATCAAAGGCTTTGTGCATATCCAGGAACAAGAGTATAACACTGTTTCCGTTGTCTATGGTAGACGTTGTGTGGTTTAAGTAGTCTGTCCAGAAGGTTGCGCAGAATCGACCTCGCATAAAACCGTGCTGCGAATCCCTGATATTGGCCTTGTTTAAAAAAATATGCAGTTTACCTTTCACTAATATTTCCATTATTCTAGATACGATGGATGTGCAATTGAGGGGACGAAAGTTTTGAACTTCGTGAGCGCCTCCACTTTTGCGTCGCGAGATAACTACAGAGGTTTCCCATTGAGTAGGATATACTCTGTTGTTAAAAGAGAATGTAAAGATGTTGAGCAAAAGCAGAAGCAAGTCGCTACCATTCTTTTTATTGAGCATGGGGATTCCATTAGGCCCAGTGCAAATCGAGGAGTATAAGCGAGAGACTGGTTAGCTTGCCGAACAACCTCATCAAGTTGCCAGCTGGGTGGTTCGGGATATTCCCGTTCCAGCAAATGGTTCGGCAGCAGTGTTCCAGGACGTGGTGGGTTTTCGCCTGGCAAGCGTTCTCGCTATACAAAGCCACCTATGTCCATTTCATAATACTGTGACGGCGGACGTGACTCGCCAATAAATAAAGTCACTGCCTCTTGCTTCATTCTGGCGAAGCATTGTATTCTGGCAAATTTATGCTGTAATTCTGGGGAGCATTGGGCCCCTGTTTGACAAAGGAACAAACGAAAGGCGTATGAACTGAACAATCAGTTACCAGCTCCTAATGGGCGCGATTCCCTGTATTCGCTCCGCTGCCTTGCAGGCAGGCTATCCAGCCAAAGGCTCGGGGTGGTGTCCACCAAGTCAACACCCTATTTCGGCTTGGGCAACCGGGTAGTATCTCACCCTCTGACGAAACCATGGACTTTGGTGCTTTCTTCTACTATTTTTGTACCTTCTTTTGAATCCCATGGTTTCTGGTGGCTCTATGTCTATTCGTAGACTGTCGCAAATATACATACTATATATAAGCGAGAGACATGACCAGTGATTTTCGCAATAGTGAATTCCACTGTGCATAGACTTTCACCGCTGTGCATGATAGGCCCCGGTGTATCTGATAGTTCATTAACCCCTGATTCAGCAAAATAAGTGATGAACGCTTCATAAATATCACCGGGTGTATCAAAGTACGTGCCATTAGGTTTGGTAATAAAATTGAAGTATTGCTGCGACGCGAACCCTGGGTACGGAATAGTTTAGATAGTTCAGCTGTTTTGCTAGCGCCGTTCAAAGCTTTATACCCTTTTGATGTCACAGTTCATCGAAGATCTTGGACTGTTGTAATAATAGCGCAGTCAGCAGTTAACCTAAATGTCCGCCGAATCTCATGAAGCTTGCTATCTGCCTTTAACACTTTGGGATCGGACTTATGTTAAGTTTGGTGAGCACATTTCAGCGGCACTGATGAATCGATGCAGAAGCCAATTATACTATAAAATAGGTCTGTTGCCTGTTCATTCAACGAACCAGGTCCTTGAACGAGTTCTAGTTGACGGAACTGGACAAAAAGTAGTGTACTGAGTGTTGTGCATCGGCCATTCATAGTCTTAGGCAGCATTTGACCACGCGATGATCGCCTCCTGGAAAGTCATAAACATGTTAACACTGATTGCAGGTATGTCAAAAAAGGAGATCCAGAGTACTTTCACCTCTGGTAGGTTGGGAGATATGTTGCTGCCGGTCATTCGTTTGAATACAAGAGATATGATTTTGGAATTTCAATGGATCGGTTACCAAGAACTATGTAATCGATGGCAGACTGAAATCACTTCCGGTGATCTTAGGTATAAACCGTAGGCTAGAGGCGCATTCAAATGCGTGTCAAAAATGCTAGGTCCTCTTGGCTGCAGTTTGGCGCGCTGTATATACATCCCATAAGCAGCTGCTGCTGAGTAACAGAGATCGCAAGCCATAGTGATTCCTGGACGTCGTTCAGCACTGGGTTCTCGAATGTTGCTGCGGCGATCGATATTTTCAGATAAACTACGCAGCTTCCAATTCGACGACAATGTCGATTACTTATAAACTTGTCGTATTCTGTCAGAGATCAAACCGCTGTGAGGAAATAAATGATATTCCCAATCTGATAAATGCCAAAGTATATTCCAGTCGTCGACCCTTTTCAGAACGTGCACGAGCAAACATAAAAAGCTTGATATGAATAAGTTTAAGGAATCATCGACCGAGAAGCCAGATCACAAGTATAAAACACATCAAGGTCTGGTGGTCGCACTATATCATTATTCCCACTAGTTACATGTTATGGATTTACCCACAGAAAAACCTACTTCGAGTAACGAAGCAACGGGCGAAACTGCGGAAGTTTTGTAGTCGGAGTCGGAAATCGCCCCTTGCAGGAGATTATCAAGACTGCTTGCATGGTCATGTACCGAGTGATTATCTGATGAGAGCTGATGACTGACCTGGAGCAAAGATCCAAACAAAAAGAATATCGTTCAGTAAACCGAGTAAGCTAACGCAAGTGATTCGCTTGATATAACAAACAATGCAGCATCCAAATCGCGGTGCGAGTTCCCCGCTGATGCAAGAAAAAAGGGGTTGTGAACAAATCGATTATAAAAATAAGATGAATAGTACACAAACAAGTAAGTGTCATGTCTCACACATGTATGTATGATATGGTGGGAGCCATAAACAGACGAGAAATGAATTTTTCCTCAGTGAATAAAATCCAGTAAATGCCACGTGCCATTATTACGATCACGCTGCTACGTCCAGGCAAATTTGTTCGTTTGGAGTACCCGCATCCTCAATGAACGTAACAGAATGCAAATCGTTCGAGTGTTCGGGAGTAGTTTGCAAAATACCATCAACTCCCCTACATAATTCGTGATGTGCGTACACTGAGTATATTATTACTCAATTTGGTAACGAACATGCACTACACAATACGGTTCTACAGTGCTACCAAGAAGATAGTTCATTGACCATGTAACAAACTTGATGCAAACACCCACTCTTGCGCGCCTAGAAGAAACGTAGTGTTTAATCGAAGTCCACCATGCGTTGTTCACGAAATGAACCTAGCCAACTATACACGCTTCAGTAACATTTCGATGCTGACAAATTGACTCAATGGTTTGGTATAACTTTCGCTTATTCGGTTAAATGCAGTAACTACTTCCATGAAACACAACATTGATAGCAGCTATGAAAGTCATGAACTGAAAGATGAGCATTTCAAAATTCCCGAAGAATCGACCAAGCTTAAAGAAAGAAGAAAGATTTCAAAACAAATGCAATAAAGTAAGGAAATTCAACCACGATTTTCATTCCTCCGACACGTACACCTATCTATGAATTGCTAAAAATGACTATACTCATTGTGTTTTATACGGGAACATGTAACGTTCGCAAGGTACTGGATAAAACGCAACGTGAGATCGGTTTACTGCAGAGTCGAGGAATACGCTGCTTATTTATTTACTTGAGAATGTGGCTGTCATACTGGCGTGCTGCGCCGATCTCACAGCATTCGGGCACAAAATAGGTGAATATAACCATTGTCACTAGTTAACAACTTCAATTTGAGCTGCGAACTAAAGTCTAGAGAGGACAATTGGTACAAAGTGAGGAACGGATAAATTATTCTTCTGCAACAAAAACATACGATAAAAATACGCGTAAATTTATTCATATACTCTTCAATGATACAAAATCGGCTACCATACTCGTTAAGCACAAACAAATCCACCTGCAAACTCAAAGCAAAATTACATCAATTCTTCTTGCAGAGGGGATGTTTCTTAAGACTAGGGGATATTTAAAAAGAGCACACAACGTGCATGTTGATCCAGTTGACAACCAACCCATACGTCCTAGAACTGACAAACTCACCAATCGTCTAGAACATTAGCGCATCGGCAAATCAAATCCAGTTAGTTTGAACATTGGCTTTCTATTGCATCAAGTGGATCTAAACGACAAGACTTCCGACATCACGGATTACCGGTGAAAGCATTAAGGCATTGGCAGTGCCAGAATTTATTCGTTCACTTTTTTCCTTCTGGAACTCCAACGTTATCGCATTCAATTGATTCACTCCCCTAATACTAGTGCTCCGAGTCCCCTTTGATTTACAGTAGTAACCTAATTTTGTAGGCCTCTCGCAGTGTTAGGTCATAATACATGACACACGACACCTATCAATAAACAATATAACCTTTAAAGCCCAGGTAGCTAATTATGCCACCAAAAAGTGAATTAGTTATTCTCTTTGCATAATGGAAAAGTTAGAAATTAGCACGTTAAATATAAGGCAGATGTAAACATCCTTCACTAGTTCCGAGTACACATAACCTCCCAACTGCAAATAAACTATGCTCTGGAGCCTTTCTGATAATTTTTATTGGTGATTATTCGACAACTAGGGATTCAATGCATTTGTATACTTTTAACACCCATAACCCTCCAGGCTCTTCCGGATCAAGTAGGTTTACTGGCTCGAAAGAAATATTGAGGGAAATGACATCTCTTAGAGCAATTTGAGGGACAGAATCTGATCAAACGGAAAACGATTCGTTGTTGCAAAACACACTTCGGTGATGAACCATTATGCATATTCAATGTGCGACTTCTACGTAGTGTTGAATATGTTAATGGGCATCAGGTGAACCGGTGCAAATACGAAATTTGACCTAAAACCTCCACTGCGCTGCAAATGCAATTTTCAGTATCATGCAGCATCGAAAGAAACTGCATATATATATATATATATATATATATATATATATATATATGCAAGTGTCCTAACGTTGGCTCGTCCGTGTACACTGAATAATCCCGGCAAGTCACTGACTAGCGATTAACATGCTGATGTTGACGCTACATGTTCCATTTCATATATTAGTCACGCGAATGAGTGTAGCTATATTTTCCGCTGTACATCGCTCATACTGAAGTTAGGATAAGCCAGCTATTATCGAGATAAGGTGCGGAAGAGCAAACGTTCCTTCTACAATTTAAATTAGAAATGCCCAATCATCTAGATTGATCTAAAATTAGATTAGTCCAATTGTGGTGGTACGGTAGTGTTTAAATAAATATTTAATTGGAAAATAAATTTAGCACAACAACAATTGATTTGTTGCGAAGGATAGCTACAACCGAGATGCATGGTGACAGATTGTTAGTAAATTGTAAGCGGTAACATTACGATGAGAAATCCAGGTCGCATGGGAATATAATACGTTCAGTTAACCAGCTTATCGGCGCCATCTGCCCAGGCACTTGATACCCATTGTTTGTCTACCCTCATATGATTAACTATGCAATGCTCACTGTTTTCATTGCAAATCACACCAAGGGTATGGAGATTTAATCATTCATTGTTTTCTCAAGCCATGTCTAAGTGATTCCATTCCAAACCCCTCTGTGAAGATACCATGGTGCCCAGGTGTCCCACGACATACTCATTTGAGATATTAGATAATTAAATGTTGTGCAAGGTACTTCTTGTAAATTTGCTAAAACAGTTTGCACACTCTTTCGAAAGCCGATGATAGAACAGGGAGCAGCGGAATTTACTACGTGTGTTGGTGATGTTATAGCGTCAAGGGGGCCATCAGGAAATGTATGGTATTATCGTCTACTAACGCTTATAGCAAGCAGCATGTGTAATACACAGTAACCATAAATCAGCTGTGTTTTAAGGTACAGTTAGTTGTGCATTATTCTACCTGGTAACCATACGCACGGCAGTGGCTTCCGTATTTCAATATCTGCTTCAAACTATTGTTGATACCCACACTTCTGACTAAATTTAAGGCTGTCGTTTCGGTTCTCATCCAAACGCTAACTAACCACTGACAGTCGTATTGGTTACTTATCATTCTACGTGCGATTTTCTAAACCTAGAGCAATATGGCTGTTCTTCTTTCATTCAATCCAAACTCATGCACGTACGTAGTGCTATGGTTCATGACGGTTATTATTTCTTCATCCAGTTTGTGGTAGTCCATACACAAGTGTGAACAAATGCCCGTTCACAACACTGCAGTACTGTAACTAGAACCAAGGACCATTGGTATGTCAACTGATATCTCACGTTGAATGACTAAGTGGAGGCCATTTAGAAACACTTATAAGCACCACACTTCAGCCTGACAGACTGATGGCATTTTCACTCGCGTAACATCATTATCTGCTGACTCGATTTCTAAATGGGACGCGGCTAAAGTACAAATCCCGCTAACATCTGTTCGTGTCTCGATACATTACATTTCTTCTCGTGTGACACCGTGACTTATTAGGGGTTGCAATATGAGGTCAATGTATCCCATCTCAAGTGTCTCTATATGCCCCCTTGTACTGCGGCCGCCTTCAGGTAAACGCACTGAGATTCAGACAAGTCATCTAGGTTGATTCCCGGAGCGGCGGCAATACGTTGTGACATCCGAATCGAAATGCATGGGCATAGGTAGTATTCTAGACACTGATGGATTGGTCGAGATATGCTAGCGGTCCGAACGAATGACCAGGGGAAAATAAATAGTAACACATGACAGACTGCCTGGTGGTTCTACCTCCCTGTTGATTCTCGCTCACCTCAGACAACAGAAGAGTATAAAGGGGTCTGGTTTTACCTTACGACACGGATAGCCAGCAGTGGACATAATCGAACCATTTCCCTGCTAACTTGGAAACTTGCTTACGTCATCTCCGTCACTTTTTGGGTGTCTCCCTTATTCTATATGCCGCATGTAGGTCGCGCTTGGGTACAGTTGCATCCTGGAATGAGTAACTACTGACTTGGTGCAATGTGGTATCTTTATTGCACCTGCCTAGAACGGATGAGCCACAGGTAACCTAACTTTCTTAGGCTTTTTTAACTCGGTTGCATTTCGCGATGACTTCACATGTGTTGCCCATTACGATATTGTACTCATCATGACCTATGCTATTCCATACTTGCTACCTTCTCAAGCGGCATCTTCCTCTTCATAGTATTATTCGGCTGCGATTCACATCACTATGTAAGCTCCAGGGTATTACTCACTATAACCGTAGCATTGACCAGCTGCTCAATGCTAACTAGCATGACGCTTAGAGAGCCGGTGCATCGCAGAATAATGGTTCAGTCCATCCATGAGCTCATTCGTACTGTACATGTAGAGGGCAACGCCTAAGTGCACACTATTTCACTGTACCAGTAGTCTAGTCATCATTCTACCTAGCAGTTGCTTCACTATTGCTACATCGGGTTCCTTCAAATATGGATTCCCAAGATATAAGGCTGTCACGTCTAAATTTTGAAGAAAACATCAACAGTTCGTATTGGGTAGTTATTCTCATACCTGCGAAAGTGGTTGTTAGCCTGACCTCCAAACAAAACCCACATACGTTTGTCGTACCATTGATAATGATGTCTAATGTGTCTCTATCCAGTTTGTGACAGATCACA